ACTTATTATAATCTCTATAATCATTGAGATTCACAGACAACAACATATTGTTACCACTGGTTAAACCATACATAAAGGCCACACAAAATAAATCTCTCACTTTGCAGGCCACTTCTAAAAATTTCAAAGGAAATATGCAAGTACATTTTTGTTAATAAGCAAAACCTTTCTTTGAGGGTCCTGTTGCAAGGAAAAATTTCTCTAGTGTTAAATGTTCCCCATCTTTCCAAGGCAGTACAAAATACCAACCCATCATCCTGGTAAACTTCTCTGCAGAAGCTGCCTAATTTGTTATAATTCTTAATATGCAATTTTTGTATAGCCTGGAAATTTAGTAGTAAATAATCTTTCAATCTTAAGGTATTGTGCTACTTTTCAGTTATTAAATTTGGTCCAGCTAAAAAGTACCAATTAATGGACACTGAAGAATGTAGTACAGGCATTTTGCACATATACTGAACATTTTTCCAAAGGGCCACAAATTGCAGTAAATATTGTTGAAACAAAGAAACATAGTTTCTTAAGCCCATTAAACAGAACTCTGCAAAGTGTTTTAAAGTTTGTGTTTATGTTTGGAAGCCATGACACTTGCTTTGATTAGAAAACCAGGGTCTTTTTAAATCAATGAATAAATCCATTTCTGAATCAGAATACACAAAATATCAGTATGAGGAAGACCTGATAATCTAGTCAGTGGTCACAAGTAATCCTGATTTACTTGTTATCACTATTCAATCTAAATGAAGATTTTTAGAAAATGAAAGCCACAAATTTCAGATTGGTCCATCGATTGTTTGGGTTTTATTTTACATTCATGTTTTGATCATGTACACAGATATCATTTTACTTCACAAAAATTTACATTAAATCAACTAAATTATAATCATAAAATATTTATTTTTTGTAATGAAATCATCAGAAGATTTAAGTGGGTACAAGTGAAGCTACATCCAACAATACCAGGAAGTAGGAAACATCCGGTGTTTTTTTGGGGTTTTTTTATTTTTTTGGAGAGGGGATGCTGCTTTTTTGAAAACCAATGAAGAATCTTCCTAAAATAAAGTTAAAAAATATTACCTTATATGAAATATATAGTTAATAAAATTAACTTTTTTTTTTAAATATGATTTATTTGAAATATAAACTTAAAAATCATTGACAATGAATACTTATGATGAATGACTGTCCACTTAAATATATTACAATTATCAGACAATAAGGAAGATGTCCTCCATAATGTAATCCCTCAATCACATTAGTTATAAATAATCACACTTGGAACAACCACCCAAATATAGAAAGTCATTTCAGCTATAAATCTGACTTTTCTCAGATTGTCAAACATGTGTATCACAATTTTTCATGTCAGAAAAGGTGGTGTTAGCTATTTAGCTTGCTTAAGTAGCTTACGATCTGAGACTTCAAACATTTCTGGTTGTATTACTATGCAAGGTGAAATGCAATCAATTTTAACTTCATTTTCAATCATTGGTTAACCAAATAAAAGATATTGCAACAACATTGCCATTCTGTGTTGAATATGTAATCTAACTACAAAAACCAGGTTCAAATGTATGGATGCCAGGCAGAGTAGGTTTTAAGTAAACTGAATAGATATTTGGACATCCTTAGTAAACTTATAACACCTACAGAAAGGTTAACAAAGTGGTCAGTATTATGCAACATATATTTTAAAATTATTCTCCCAATAAAAACACATGTGCATACATTTTAATGTCTGTTCTGCTTTACTGATCATTATTTAATTGATGTTCAACATCTTAAGATAAAGGTTTTACTATAGGTGTTGCATAAACATAAAATTATCAATGATACATGTAAATCACTAAATGAGACCAAAGTCAAATGAACCTTGCCAGACAGACAAGTACAACTTACAATCATTCCATTCACATAATATAGTTAACCTATAGCATATAGCATTGAGAAAAAGAATTAACATTGACCAATGATCCATGTAAATAAGGTCATCCTACAATGAACCCTGCTGGATTGAAAAGTACAATTTACATTAAGCATAAATTCCATAAACCATATAGAGTTGACCTATATGTTTTGCTTATAGCACCTGAAAAAGAAGACCTGACCACTAAAACTAATCAATGACCAATGATCCATGAAAATGGGTTCAAGGTCAGATGAACCCTGTCAGATGTAATCCTTACAATAATTCCATATGTCAAATAAAGTTAAAATATTGCTTATAGTATCTGAGATAAATAGTAAATACCCAACCAGAAAAACTCAACTTTAACAGTTGAACCATGAAAATGAAGTCAAGGTCAGATCTGTACACATTACAATATTTCCATATGTCAAATAAAGTTGACCTTTTGCTTATAGTATCTGAGATAAAGACTTGTCCAGCAAAACTAAACTTTCCTCACTGATCCATAAAATGGTGTCAAAGACAGGTGAACCCTGGCTGACAGATATGAAGACCTTGCAAAGATTCATTACACCAAGTTTAGTAATCCTAAGTAAAATTCATCATGTGATAAAAAAACTACACATTTTTTTAAGCAGTCCCTGAACCATGAATATTAGGTCAATGACAAGGACATACATTTGATAGACAGAAACTTCAGAACAAAAGGGATCTGTATAAAAGGTATGAACTTAATAATGAAGTATCCAGGTCTTCTTCCTTTTGAAATACAAAGCTTTATACAGTTTATACTAATAGTGTAATATATCACCACCTCCAGATTAGCATGCATTCTTCAGCCTTCTGAGGCATCTGAGCAGACAAAGCAAAAACCCAACTGCATATATTATGATTTTGAACAGTAATATTGTCTCTATTTTTTTGTATGACCTTGACCTTAGACATAAGACTTGAATTCAATGGGAATCCTACTCTTTATCCTATAATTAAATTGACGACATACCCATGTAAGATTGCAATCCCACATAATGCATCATAAAACCCACTTTTCTGCATAAATTTCTGCTGTCATTTATTTTAAAAGTAACTTTGACTTGTTACATCAACATCATAGGGATATTCCTTTCATTATATGTGACCATATATCCAAGCAAGTTTGTAATGCTATATGTAATATTCAGTATCTTGAAACCCCTTTTTTGCAGTCTATTTCGAGTAACTTCGACCTGGACCTTTGATGTATTGACCTCAAAATCAAAAGGGATCTGTCTTTTAATAAATGTGACCACATTGGCATATATCAAAGTTAAGTTGCAATCCTTTACAAAGTATTTGAGTTAGCATCTAGAAACGAAAAACTGACACAAGGACTGATTGACGGTTGGACAGGTAAAAAACTATATATCCCTCCACTTCATAGCGAGGGGTATAAAAACACAGGTACCATGATTGTGATAGACAGACAATCAAGTCAGATTTTTAACATGTTAGCTCACAAGGTAATACTATGAAAGAATTTGAAAGACATTTCACTCTCCCTGAACATATTTTTCTAGCTCTGAACTGAGTCTTTTTTCTTACTCACAAATATTAATGCTTGACAGAAAGAAGCAAATACCTATTTTAAGGTTTCAAATTGATCTGTCAGGAATTAACTGTAGACAATGCACAAAAGAGTAGGACACACTACCTGCACCTAAATAAAGAATTGATATAAAAATGCTAATAACAGATCCCATGTGGGGCTGAAACAATATTTCGCCGGACAATCTGGTTTGATTTTCAATATTAGGGCCACAGTTTTTTTTAATGGTTTTACCCACTAATTGATTCTCAAGCCGAATCTCCTTACTATCTGTAACCCAATACACATAAAACTGTTAAAGTCTTGTAGAAATTGATTTAAAAATAGACAAAAATTAAGAAGTGACAACACTGTTTGCATCAAATTTATATGAAAACCAAATAAAAGTGCAAGTAAAAAAGACTGAAGACAAAACCAATAGAAAGTATTGTGATACAATAAAATTATGCTAACTCATTTCTCCATTGATACCAAGTGATAGTGATGGCAAAAGCTGGCAACTGAGCTAAAAATACATTTGGCAGTATGTGTAGAAGCTATCGGACCATGTTTCATAAAACATGCAGGAGCTCCATAAAAATTGATAATTCTACATAACGGAATTCTAAAGTAGAAATAAACGAAAATACCTATTTTTTCAACATCTGCAACTGTTAGCATTATTGACCCCTATTATACATTTAATAGGCAATTGCATCATATGCATATGAATGGTTTGATTGATTGATTGATTGTTGGTGTTTAATGCCTATTTCAGAACTATTGGCTATATCGTAGCAGTAAGATTTTATTGGTAGAGGATTGCTGGAGCGCCCAGTGAGAACCACAGACCTCTGACAATCCTAGTCAATTAAGAGTCAAAAGTACCTGCCACATGAGGGGTTATAACTCACAACCTCAGTGTTGACAGGCTAGTGATACAGTAGATGATCTACTTACACCACTTGGCCTCAGAGGCCCCTGAATGGTTTGAAAAAGTTTATTATATCTGAATATATTGAGTTAGATGCTAAACTAAACCTGTATCACTCACCAAATAGTCTTGTTGTTTTATATTCAACTAGCATGAAGTGAAGTATTTCCCTTTTTCAAAAAAAGTTTTCTAGAATTAATACTCGTCTAGAGTCCACATTGATTGACGTTGTAAACATAGAAATGCAGATCTCTTTCTATCAACCATTTTGATTGTTTGATTTGATCATGGAAATCTCATGAAAATATCCACATTTGTATTTTTTCCCATTGGTCAATTTTGATGTACAAACAATGGTGTATGGGAGACAACTCTGATCATTCCTCATATCCTACCATCAATAATATTGTTTGAGAATATTCATTTGTTTCAGAGAGCTAATGAGATAAAAGCATTGCTTTCACAATACCTAGTTTATTAGTTATGTCATTTCCTACTCCCCCAAAAATGAGTACTTTTTGAATTTGATCTTAAAAAATCTGCATATATATGATTTTGTTTTTCTGATAATTTCCAGCAAAAAAGAGGCTTACCTGGAAACTGTGGTTAATATTTTTGGTACTACATTCTGCTACACTCAGATCTGTTAACTCTATTTCATCAAATATACCAGACTGAAAAAGTAATACAGAAATGATATGTCTAGCATTACATCAAAGTTGTTGTACAAATAAATGGAGGGAATATAGTAGCTAAAAATATGTTAATTTATCTCATATGCATCAAGTTTTGGATGAGCTCAAAACAAAGAATTTCCGATAAAAAAAAATAAAAAGACGAAAATTTCATTGGCTAAGAACAGCATGTGCAATACCTGAAAATTATATATGTTTTTGAAATTCATTAATAACCTATTTCAAATATACCTGGACTAAAACTCATCATGAAACAATCCCTTTAACCAAAAAGTTGTATTGTCATGCTAACTATACACCCACTCTTTATTAGAAATTGACACAAAGTATAATCAAGCAAGAATTGACTAGACAGCAGATCTAATAACCGCTTCGCTGAGCACCTCTGGATACACCCGCAGAGGTCCAACCCTGAACAGTTGGGGCAAAAATGGACACAATATTCAAGCTTGATACAGGTCTGAATTTGGATTGTAATTAAATATTTGACATATTATAGGTTTCTGAATAAATGTAGTCAAAGAACTTGAAATTGGTTATATAAATTGAATTTATTAAAGATTTCTTGCGGTTGTGCAATACACTGTGCTGTTGTGCAATACTTAGTAAATCTGTTGTCAGACTATAAACAAATAAAGTTAAATTAATTCTCAATGTCATATTAGTAATTTATGAAAATCAAAAGGGAGCTTACATCAATAGATATAACCAATTTACCAAAGTTTCATGAGAATTGCTGACAGCATTTTTTAGTTATTGTTCGAAAAAATGGAAAATCCCCCCTTTTTTAATGAATAAAACCCATAACTCAGAAATGTAAAATGTAAAATTTATAAAATTCTAAACGGAGCTTACATCAATAGATATAAACAATTCACCTAAGTTTCATAAGAACTGCTGAAAGCATTTTTGAGTTTTTGTCCGAAAACTGGAAAATTTACCTTTTTTTTATGAATAAAACCCTGTAACTCGGAAACGTAAAATCATAAATTTATAAAAATCGAAAGGGAGCTCATGTCAATAGATATAAACAATTCACCAAGATTTCTTGCAAGTTGGTGAAAGCATTCTTGAGTAATTGTCCGAAAACTGGAAAATCACCCTTTTTTTAATGAATAAAACCCCATACCTCGGAAACGAAAAATCTGAAATTTATAAAAAACGAAAGGGAGCTCACGTCAATAGATATGAACAATTCACCAAAGTTTTATGCAAATTGGTTAAAGCGTTTTTGAGTTAATGTCCGACATGTTGACGACAGACGGACAGACAGAAAACGGTATACCATAATACGTCCCATAAACGGGCGTATAAAAATCACTAACATAGTACAAAACAACATTATTAAATTCCAGACAGAATTTTAAATCATTCCTTAATACAGAAACTGAGTATTTTGTAATGAAAGTTATTGATATTGAAGGTATAAACAGACTGAGAGAGTAACCAACAATCAATCAATCAAACTGAGATAAAGTTATTAAAACATACCACCCACTCAGTAAGTGCTTGTTACATGTACCTTGATCTTTGACAGTTAAGTCAAAATCAACTGAGGTTTTCCTCTGTACATGAATTTGATGACAGATAAGGTGTATAATTCAGATATCACACAGAATGAATTTAAATAAGAATGTGTCCATAGTACACGGATGCCCCACTGCACTATAAATTTCTATGTTCAGTGGACTGTGAAATTGGGGTAAAAACTCTAATTTGGCATTAAAATTAGAAAGATCAAAGCATAGGGAACATGTGTACTAAGTTTCAAATTGATTGGACTTCAACTTCATCAAAAACTACCTTGACCAAAACCTTTAACCTGAAGCGGGACAGACAGACGAATGGAAATAAAAAAAAATTGTCAATTCAAACAGAATCTGCTGTCCCTTTATTGGCTAGAACATAAAACCATTTAGTAATCTAATGCATACAATACATTTTGTACATAGTGCCAAATAAAAATGCATTACATGACATACCTTTGTATCTTTTGCATAGTAAAGTTTTCTTCCCTTCAGTTTGAAGTATCTTCTTTTCCATCTCTATAAAATAACAGTGGTTATGAAAACATTGTCATTTCTAATGTATATTCAATTCAATAAAGAAGCAATTTTTACCTGATAGATATATTTTACCAGAAAATTGATGTCGAGATTTTGAAGTGTTCTTTAGTCTGTCATTTTGTCCAGAAAATTATTTTTTTAGCATGCTAATATAACTAACAGATCGATATATTTCTAAATATGGAAAAAAACAATTGGTGGTACATAGTATATGTGCTCATTTAACTCTTAAAACACTGAAAATGTATCAACTTATCCACCAATTTTCAAAGGATATACATTTTTGTACAAGTGAGTCTGAATTTTTGTCAGAAAGAAAATAAACATTTAAAGTATTTATAATCAATCACAAGACCAAGTTGAATTAATTTTACTTGGCCTTAATTGCCAAAACCAAATCAAAGCGCAAATGCACTGAAAAGGCAGTTACCTACAGGATTTATGAATTTATAGCCTGGATTGATTATAATCAAACATATTACTTTTCAGGAAAGGCTAACAACATCAGATATTTAGACATTTTCAATTATTATGGCATTGAAATGATAATTCTACATTGCCTGATTGTATTTCCAAAGAACATATTAGGCCAGACTTTTTTTATTATCTGTTTAACGAGATCTGCAGACTCAAATTTCCCGATTTCAGAATAAAAATAAAAGAAGTGCTTTTTACTTTTATTTTTATTTTTCCCGCCGACTGTTACGAAATCCTCAGAACAAAAATAAAATCTGTGGTTTACGATACCCGCTTTCGTCATCGGTAATATTTAATTTTTACCAAGTCCATGAAACAGCAATTTCAAAGTAAAGAAATTAAAGGCATAAACGGTTTATGACTTCAAAAAAGAGATTAAAGCCTTGATTTTTTAAGCTGGTGGCATGTTTTTTCATAAAAACAATTTGTTTAAAACCACTTTCCCCGGTACTTGTTACACGAGAGAGTACATCAAATCATTCTAACTTTCGGCTAAATAAGTTATTACTTCATTTGAACTTGATTAAATTAGCCTGAAGTAAATTTGTAATCCATGTATTGCATTAAAAACGTCATATTCCTTTCCAAAAAGCGTATCAAACATCTTTATTTTTGTAAAGTTTTCTCCGACATTTAAATTATTGGGTATATTTTTGAAGAACTACGGATCAGAGTCAAGATTTCATCGGAAGCGGACCTGCTATGACCAAAATCCGGATTCTTGCGATAATGACTACGGACGCATGAAAGGCACTGCTGACAGACAAAAATTGATCCCAAAAGGAACTAGAGACTCTCAAGAGCCTGTGTCGCTCACCTGTATTTACTGATGCTTTGGAAATCATGTAAAATAAGGTTAAAATCATAATTAATAGTATTAGATATTAGATATTATAATGATATCTAAGATAATAACAAATAAAATGCTCCGCAGGGCACAGCTTGATACGACCGCAGAGGTCGAACCCTGAACAGTTGGGGGAAGTATGGACACAACATTCAAGCTTGATACAGCTTTGGATTTGGATTGTGATTAAATATTTGACACAGCATAGGTTTCTAACACAGATTGAATGTGGTCTAAGAACTTAAAAATTTTAAATTGGACATTCACCTATTATGGTCCAATATCCAAAATCTAAATACATGGTTAGATTCAGCATATCAAAGAACCCCAAGAATTCAATTTTTGATGAAATCAAACAAAGTTTAATTTTGGACCCTTTTGACCTCAATGTGGACAAAGTTGATAACGGGGCCCAAAAATCAAAAATCTAAATACATGGTTAGATTCAGCATATCAAAGAACCCCATATATTCAATTTTTGTTGAAATCAAACAAAGTTTAATTTTGGACCCCGATTTGGACCAACTTGAAAACTGGGCCCATAATCAAAAATCTAAATACATGTTTAGATTCAGCATATCAAAGAACCCTAAGAATTCAATTTTTGTTAAAATCAAACTAAGTTTAATTTTGGACCCTTTGGACCTTAATGTAGACCAATTTAAAAACGGGACACATAATTAAAAATCTAAATACACGGTTAGATTCGGCATATCAAAGAACCCTAATAATTCAATTTTTGATGAAATCAAACAAAGTTAAATTTTGGACCCTTTTGACCTCAATGTGGACAAAGTTGATAACGGGGCCCAAAAATCAAAATTCTAAATACATGGTTAGATTCAGCATATCAAAGAACCCCATATATTCAATTTTTGTTGAAATCAAACAAAGTTTAATTTTGGACCCCGATTTGGACCAACTTGAAAACTGGGCCCATAATCAAAAATCTAAATACATGTTTAGATTCAGCATATCAAAGAACCCTAAGAATTCAATTTATGTTAAAATCAAACTAAGTTTAATTTTGGACCCTTTGGACCTTAATGTAGACCAATTTGAAAACGGAACCAAAATTTAAGAATCTAAATACACAGTTAGATTCGGCATATCAAAGAACCCCAATAATTCAATTTTTGATGAAATCAAACAAAGTTTAATTTTGGACCCTTTGGACCTCAATGTGGACCAATTTAAAAACGGGGCCCAAAATCCAAAAACTAAATACACGGTTAGATTCAGCATATTAAAGAACCCCATGAAATCAAGAATAAAACCCCATTGAAATTGGTCAAGAAATAAGCAATTTATAGGAAGTATCTTCTTTTGCACAATCCTGTGCTATTAAATATTTCTTGCTATTGCGCAATACTGTACAATTGACAATTTCTTGCTATTGCGCAATATTGTGCTATTGGATATTTCTTGCTATTGCGCAATACTGTGCAATTGAAGATTTCTTGCTATTGCGCAATACTGTGCAATTGAAGATTTCTTGCTATTGTGCAATACTGTGCAATTGAAAATTTCTTGCTATTGCACAATACTTATTATATAATAATTTACACATCCTGTTTGGTGTGTATCTCCTACCATATCATTATTATTTGCTTTTAAATATTAATCAGAAATAACCAACTTAAAATGGAAAATTTTAAAAGAAAAAAAAAAGGAAAAAAAGAAAAAAAAAGAAAAAAAAAAAATCCCCCCCCCCCCCCAATTATTTGAACCCCCTTATGATTCATCACCCCCAAACTCAATCCCAGCCTTCCCTTTGTGGTATGGTACCTTGCAGTACAATTTCAGAGAGATCCATACACTTGAACACAAGTTATTGTCTGGAAACTAGAAAAATGCTTATTTTTGGCCCCTTTTTGGCCCCCAATTCCTAAACGTTTCGGGCAATTACCCCCAAACTCAATTCCAGCTTTCCCTTTGTGATATGGAACCTTGTAGTACAATTTCAGAAATATCCAAACACTTACACACAAGTTATTGTCATGAAACTAGAAAAATGCTTGTTTTTTGCCCCTTTTTTGGCCCCTAATTCCTAAAATTTTGAGGCAATTACCCCCAAAATCAATTACAGCCTTCCCTTTGTGATATGGAACCTTGTGGTACAATGTCAGAGAGATCCATACACTTACACACAAGTTATTGTCTGGAAGTTACAAAAATGCTTATTTTTGGCCCCTTTTTGGCCCCTAATTCCTTAACTGTTGGTACCATAACCCCCAAAATCAATCCCCACCTTCCTTTCGTGGTATTGAACCTTATGGTAAAATTTCATGGAGATCCATTCACTTAAACTAAAGTTAGAGTGCGAAAACCAATGTGTCTTCGGACGACGCCGGACGACGCCAGACGACGACGACGACGACGACGACGCCAACGTCATACCAATATACGACCAAAAAATTTTCAATTTTTGCGGTCGTATAAAAATCTAAATACAAGTTTAGATTCAGCATATCAAAGAACCCTAAGAATTCAATTTTTGTTAAAATCAAACTAAGTTTAATTTTGGACCCTTTGGACCTTAATGTAGACCAATTTGAAAACGGAACCAAAAATTAAGAATTTAAATACACGGTTAGATTCGGCATATCAAAGAACCCCAATAATTCAATTTTTGATGAAATCAAACAAAGTTTAATTTTGGACCCTTTTGACCTCAATGTGGACAAAGTTGATAACGGGGCCCAAAAATCAAAAATCTAAATACATGGTTAGATTCAGCATATCAAAGAACCCCATATATTCAATTTTTGTTGAAATCAAACAAAGTTTAATTTTGGACCCCGATTTGGACCAACTTGAAAACTGGGCCCATTATCAAAAATCTAAATACATGTTTAGATTCAGCATATCAAAGAACTCTAAGAATTCAATTTATGTTAAAATCAAACTAAGTTTAATTTTGGACCCTTTGGACCTTAATGTAGACCAATTTGAAAACGGAACCAAAATTTAAGAATCTAAATACACAGTTTGATTCGGCATATCAAAGAACCCCAATAATTCAATTTTTGATGAAATCAAACAAAGTTTAATTTTGGACCCTTTGGACCTCAATGTGGACCAATTTAAAAACGGGGCCCAAAATCCAAAAACTAAATACACGGTTAGATTCAGCATATTAAAGAACCCCATGAAATCAAGAATAAAACCCCATTGAAATTGGTCAAGAAATAAGCAATTTATAGGAAGTATCTTCTTTTGCACAATCCTGTGCTATTAAATATTTCTTGCTATTGCGCAATACTGTACAATTGACAATTTCTTGCTATTGCGCAATATTGTGCTATTGGATATTTCTTGCTATTGCGCAATACTGTGCAATTGAAGATTTCTTGCTATTGCGCAATACTGTGCAATTGAAGATTTCTTGCTATTGTGCAATACTGTGCAATTGAAAATTTCTTGCTATTGCACAATACTTATTATATAATAATTTACACATCCTGTTTGGTGTGTATCTCCTACCATATCATTATTATTTGATTTTAAATATAAATCAGAAATAACCAAATTAAAATGGAAAATTTTAAAAGAAACAAAAAAAGAAAAAAAGAAAAAAAAGGAAAAAAAAATAAATCCCCCCCCCCCAAATTTTTTGAACCCCCATTATGATTCATCACCCCCAAACTCAATCCCAGCCTTCCCTTTGTGGTATGGTACCTTGCAGTACAATTTCAGAGAGATCCATACACTTGAACACAAGTTATTGTCTGGAAACTAGAAAAATGCTTATTTTTGGCCCCTTTTTGGCCCCCAATTCCTAAACGTTTCGGGCAATTACCCCCAAACTCAATTCCAGCTTTCCCTTTGTGATATGGAACCTTGTAGTACAATTTCAGAAATATCCAAACACTTACACACAAGTTATTGTCATGAAACTAGAAAAATGCTTGTTTTTTGCCCCTTTTTTGGCCCCTAATTCCTAAAATTTTGAGGCAATTACCCCCAAAATCAATTACAGCCTTCCCTTTGTGATATGGAACCTTGTGGTACAATGTCAGAGAGATCCATACACTTACACACAAGTTATTGTCTGGAAGTTACAAAAATGCTTATTTTTGGCCCCTTTTTGGCCCCTAATTCCTTAACTGTTGGTACCATAACCCCCAAAATCAATCCCCACCTTCCTTTCGTGGTATTGAACCTTATGGTAAAATTTCATGGAGATCCATTCACTTAAACTAAAGTTAGAGTGCGAAAACCAATGTGTCTTCGGACGACGCCGGACGACGCCAGACGACGACGACGACGACGACGACGCCAACGTCATACCAATATACGACCAAAAAATTTTCAATTTTTGCGGTCGTATAAAAATCTAAATACAAGTTTAGATTCAGCATATCAAAGAACCCTAAGAATTCAATTTTTGTTAAAATCAAACTAAGTTTAATTTTGGACCCTTTGGACCTTAATGTAGACCAATTTGAAAACGGAACCAAAAATTAAGAATTTAAATACACGGTTAGATTCGGCATATCAAAGAACCCCAATAATTCAATTTTTGATGAAATCAAACAAAGTTTAATTTTGGACCCTTTTGACCTCAATGTGGACAAAGTTGATAACGGGGCCCAAAAATCAAAAATCTAAATACATGGTTAGATTCAGCATATCAAAGAACCCCATATATTCAATTTTTGTTGAAATCAAACAAAGTTTAATTTTGGACCCCGATTTGGACCAACTTGAAAACTGGGCCCATTATCAAAAATCTAAATACATGTTTAGATTCAGCATATCAAAGAACTCTAAGAATTCAATTTATGTTAAAATCAAACTAAGTTTAATTTTGGACCCTTTGGACCTTAATGTAGACCAATTTGAAAACGGAACCAAAATTTAAGAATCTAAATACACAGTTTGATTCGGCATATCAAAGAACCCCAATAATTCAATTTTTGATGAAATCAAACAAAGTTTAATTTTGGACCCTTTGGACCTCAATGTGGACCAATTTAAAAACGGGGCCCAAAATCCAAAAACTAAATACACGGTTAGATTCAGCATATTAAAGAACCCCATGAAATCAAGAATAAAACCCCATTGAAATTGGTCAAGAAATAAGCAATTTATAGGAAGTATCTTCTTTTGCACAATCCTGTGCTATTAAATATTTCTTGCTATTGCGCAATACTGTACAATTGACAATTTCTTGCTATTGCGCAATATTGTGCTATTGGATATTTCTTGCTATTGCGCAATACTGTGCAATTGAAGATTTCTTGCTATTGCGCAATACTGTGCAATTGAAGATTTCTTGCTATTGTGCAATACTGTGCAATTGAAAATTTCTTGCTATTGCACAATACTTATTATATAATAATTTACACATCCTGTTTGGTGTGTATCTCCTACCATATCATTATTATTTGATTTTAAATATAAATCAGAAATAACCAAATTAAATGGAAAATTTTAAAAGAAACAAAAAAAGAAAAAAAGAAAAAAAAGGAAAAAAAAATAAATCCCCCCCCCCAAATTTTTGAACCCCCATTATGATTCATCACCCCCAAACTCAATCCCAGCCTTCCCTTTGTGGTATGGTACCTTGCAGTACAATTTCAGAGAGATCCATACACTTGAACACAAGTTATTGTCTGGAAACTAGAAAAAAATGTGTTTTTGGCCCCTTTTTGGCCCCAAATTCCTAAACGTTTAGGGCAATTACCCCCAAACTCAAACCCAACTTTCCCTTTGTGATATGGAACCTTGTAGTACAATTTCAGAAAGATCCATACACTTACACACAAGTTATTGTCATGAAACTAGAAAAATGCTTGTTTTTTGCCCCTTTTTTGGCCCCTAATTCCTAAAATTTGGAGGCAATTACCCCCAAAATCAATCCCAGCATTCCTTTAGTGATATGGAACCTTGTGGTACAATGTCAGAGAGATCCATACACTAACACACAAGTTATGTCTGGAAGTTACAAAAATGCTTATTTTTGGCCCCTTATTCCTTTACTGTTATTACCATAACCCCCAAAATCAATCCCAACCTTCCTTTTGTGGTATTGAACCTTGTGGTAAAATTTCATAAAGATCCATTCACTTAAACTAAAGTTAGAGTGCGAAAACCAATGTGTCTTCGGACGACGGCAGACGACGCCTTAGACGACGTCGACGCCGGACGACGACGACGCCAACGTCATACCAATATACGACCACAAAAATTTTTGCGGTCGTATAAAAATAAAAATTTCTTTGCAACCATAAAAGTAAAATAGAAAATGACATCATAATCATAGCTAAAAATAAACAAAAATTTTTTTATTGGCAAGTTTTAAATGGAGTTTATTATACTAAAACAATAAATTTGCAACCATAAACATGATAAAACCCCATTTAAACACATCATAAAAGTATTAAATAATTCAACTACATCATAAGGCTATAAAAATAGAAAATGACTTCATAGTCAAGGCTAAAGGTAAACAAAAAACCTTCAGCAGCAAAATTTTATATTGGCAAATTTCCAATGAAGTTTATTACACTAAAATTGTTGGCAAATTTCCAATGCATTTATTAACAATAAAGTTATTGGCAAATTTCCAATTTACATAATTTAAAAGCAGTGTAGATGAGATATTTAAATGAGTTTGAATTACCAACCTTACACTGCTTTTAAATAATGTTCTTTACTCAATTATTTGTCTATTAAAAGAAACCCTTGTTTTTTAACCTTTTTTCCCCTTATTCCTTAAACATTAGAGCCATAACCACCCCCCCCCCCCCCCCCCCCCCCCCCCCCCCAAAGCCAATTATTACTTTCCAATGTAACCTAAATTTCCAATATACATAATTTTAAATTTCAATTCCTCATGATATATAACCGTATCATTATTATTTTCTTTCATATATAAATCTGAAACAACCATCTTTAAATGGAAAATTTTAAAGAAAAAAAAAATGAAAAAAAAAAATCCTACCTCCCACACATTTTTTCAACCCCCTTTTGATTCATCATCCCCCACCTCAATCACAACCTTCAATTTGTGGTACGGTACATTGCAATACAATTTCACAGAGATCCATACACTTGAACACAAGTTTTTGTTGCAAACTAAAAAAATCCTTATTTTTGACCAATATTTGGCCCCTTATTCATAAATGTTTGAGCAATTAACCCCAAAACTCAATTCCTACTTTCTCTTCATGATAAAAAATAACTAACTTAAAATGTAAATTTTAAACAAAAAAAAAAGGAAAAAAAAAAATTACCCCTTTTTTGACAAACGCCCCCCTTATGATTCATCACCCCCACCCCCCTTTCCCCCCAAACCAAGCTCAATAACAGCCTTGCCTTTGTGGTATGGTACCTTGTAATACAATTTTAGAGAGATCCATACACTTGAACACAAGTTATTGTCTAGAAACTAAAAAATGCTTATTTTAAACCCCTTTTTAGGCCCCTTATTACTAAACGTTTTGGGCAATTACCACAACACTCAATTCCACCTTTCCCTTTGTGAAATGGAACCTTGTAGTAAAATTTCAGAAAGATCCATATACTTACACACAAGTTATTGTCATGAAACTAGAAAAATGCTTGTTTTTTGCCCCCTTTTGGCCCCTTATTCCTAAAATTTTGAGGCAATTAACCCCAAAATCAATCCAAGCATTGACCCTTTGTGATATGGAATCTTGTGGTACAATGTCAAAGAGATCCATATGCTAACACACAAGTTATGTCTGGAAGTTACAAAAATGCTTATTTTCGGCCCCTTTTTGGCCCCTAATTCCTTAACTGTTGGTACCATAACCCCAAAAATCAATCCCCACCTTCCTATGGTGGTATTGAACCTTATGGTAAAATTTCATAGAGATCTATTCACTTAAACTAAAGTTAGAGTGCGAAAACCATTGTGTATTCGGACGACGACGACGACGACGACGACGCCAACGACGCCAACGTCATACCAATATACGACCTCAAAATTTTTTTGCGGTCGTTTAAAAATAACCAACTTAAAATGGAAAATTTTAAAAGAAACCAAAAAAGGAAAAAAAAATAAATCCCCCCCCAAAATTTTTTGAACCCCCATTATGATTCATCACCCCCAAACTCAATCCCAGCCCTCCCTTTGTGGTATGGTACCTTGCAGTACAATTTCAGAGAGATCCATACACTTGAACACAAGTTATTGTCTGGAAACTAGAAAAAAATGTGTTTTTTGGCCCCTTATTGGCCCCAAATTCCTAAACGTTTAGGGCAATTACCCCCAAACTCAAACCCAGCTTTCCCTTTGTGATATGGAACCTTGTAGTACAATTTCAGAAAGATCCATACACTTACACGCAAGTTATTGTCATGAAACTAGAAAAATGCTTGTTTTTTGCCCCTTTTTTGGCCCCTAATTCCTAAAATTTGGAGGCAATTACCCCCAAAATCAATCCCAGCATTCCTTTAGTGATATGGAACCTTGTGGTACAATGTCAGAGAGATCCATACACTAACACACAAGTTATGTCTGGAAGTTACAAAAATGCTTATTTTTGGCCCCTTTTTGGCCCCTAATTCCTTTACTGTTATTACCATAACCCCCAAAATCAATCCCAACCTTCCTTTTGTGGTATTGAACCTTGTGGTAAAATTTCATAAAGATCCATTCACTTAAACTAAAGTTAGAGTGCGAAAACCAATGTGTCTTCGGACGACGACGACGCCAACGTCATACCAATATACGACCACAAATTTTTTGCGGTCGTATAAAAATTTACAAAAAATTGTTAAAAATTGACTATTAAGGGCAATAACTCCTAAAGGGGTCGACTGACAATTTTGGTCATGACAACTTATTTGTAGATCTTACTTTGCTGAACATTATTGCTGTTTACAGTTTATCTCTATCTATAATAATATTCAAAATAATAACCAATAAAATGCTTCGCTGGGGCGCAGCTTGATACGACCGCAGAGGTCGAACCCTGAACAGTTGGGGCAAGTATGGACACAACATTCAAGCTTGATACAGCTCTGAATTTGGATTGTTATTAAATATTTGACACAGCATAGGTTTCTGACACAGAAAGAATGTGGTCTAAGATCTTGAATTTTTTTAATTTACCGTTCCTACTCGCTTATTAGTCGGAAAATTGGGAGTAAAATTCATAATCCAGAGAGGGGGACCGACTAATAGACGAGATCTAGCGACCAGAGGAAAAATCCAAGCTTGAGAAAAGTGGTCAGGAGTGAATTTCCTGGTCAAAACTACGTTTTTGATTGCCAAACCTACATAAATCAATAAATAAAAAGTTTTAGTTGAAAATAAATGACTACAATACTGTCTTTGTGTTTTATTTGTTCTTTGGTTAACATTTTCTGCAAATTCGTGTTGAAATTCTACTGTTTCCGGTTTGTGTATTGATTTTCATGGTCACATGGTTTTCCTATAAACCCAAAAGAAGAGCCAAGAACCAAAAATGAAAAGGAGATAACAATGTACCAAATATGTGAAAGGATGTTTTCAGCGGAGTTATTGTGTCATTATTGTGATATCATGATATCAATTCAATGCTTATAAATCATATAATAATCAAAAAATAATTTTAAGATTCATTCCCAAAATCAAAATATTATTCATTAAAGTGTCTCAGGTAAACAAAAATTACAAAATTGATTGACAAGCCAATATAATCCACTGATAACCCCAATTAAGAGACAAAGAGTTGTATTTACTAAAGGTGTGAAAACTATCAGTGATAGGTAAACAGATGACACTAATGAGTTGGAGTTAGTTATTTTAATATATTGATTAGCTTCACTTAATTTTTTTAATCCTTTAATCATCACAATATAATAAGAATTATGAAGTGTACATGCTCATTTAACACCGAGTTATGTATGCTGTGAAAAATATTTTCATCAAGTGTTGATTGACTTTAAATTTTTCAGGTTCATATTGGTTTATATTGGCTTTTCTCAAACAATAGGTTGTTAGTCATACCCTACAAAATCATTGATGCATTACGTAAACAACACACGGCTAATCAAACATTTGAACAGTGAACAAAACAAGAGAAATGAATATATCTTTATTATTAACAGCAATATAAATTATCATGATGAGCATCAACTAAATTCAAACCAAACAAACATTAATGCAGAAATGAATAATATTATTCCTGGATTTGCATTGGTTTTCCCGGCATTCAGTTACTGTCAGCTGAAAAAAAAAATGCCCAAATTTTGTCCGACTTATACGAGGGTCAAGACTAAATCCTTAGAATTTGGAGCTGAAAAGGGCACCCGACTTATAGTAGGATCGACTATTAGGCGAGTTTCTACGGTACCTATTATGGTCCAATGTCCAAAATCAAAATACATGGTTAGATTCAGCATATCAAAGAACCCCATATATTCAATTTTTGTTAAAATTAAGCAAAGTTTAATTTTGGACCCCAACTTGGACAAACTTGAAAACTGGGCCCATAATCAAAAATCTAAACACATGTTTAGATTCAGCATATCAAAGAACCCCAAGAATTCAATTTTTGCTAAAATCAAACTAAGTTTAATTTTAGACCCTTTGGACCCTAATGTAGACCAATTTAAAAAACGGGACTTAAAATTAAAAATCTAAATACACAGTTAGATTTTGAATATCAAAGAACCCCAATAATTCAATTTTTGATGAAATCAAACAAAGGTTTATTTTGGACCCTTTTGACCTCAATATGAACCAATTTGATAGTGGGGCCCACAAATAAAAAATCTAAATTCATGGTTAGATTCAGCATATCAAAGAACCCCATATATTCAATTCTTGTTGAAATAAAAAAAAGTTTAATTTTGGACCCCAACTTGGACCAACTTGAAAACTGGGCCCATAATCAAAAATCTAAACACATGTTTAGATTCAGCATATCAAAGAACCCCAAGATTTCAATTTTTGTTAAAATCAAACTTAGTTTAATTTTGGACCCTTTGGACCTCAATGAAGACCAATTTAAAAAACGGGACCCAAATTAAACATCTAAAAACACGGTTAGATTTGGCATATCAAAGAATCCCAATAATTCAATTTTTGATGAAATCAAACAAAGTTTAATTTTGGACCCTTTTGACCTCAATATGAACCAATTTGATAGAGGGGCCTACAAATAAAAAATCTAAATACATGGTTAGATTCAGCATATCAAAGAACCTCATATATTCAATTTTTGTTGAAATCAAACAAAGTTTAATTTTGGACCCCAATTTGGACCAACTTGAAAACTGGGCCCATAATCAAAAATCTAAATACATGTTTAGATACAGCATATCAAAGAACCCCAAGAATTCAATTTTTGTTGAAATCAAACAAAGTTTAATTTTGGACCCTTTGGACCTTAATGTAGACCAATTTAAAAAACAGGACCCAAAATTAAAAATCTAAATACACAGTTAGATTTGGAATATCAAAGAACCTCAATAATTCAATTTTAGATGAAATCAAACAAAGTTTAATTTTGGACCCTTTTGACCTCAATATGAACCAATTTGATAACGGGGTCCACAAATAAAAAATCTAAATACATGGTTAGATTCAGCATATCAAAGAACCCCATTTATTCAATTTTTGTTGAAATCAAACAAATTTTAATTTTGGACCCCAATTTGGACCAACTTGAAAACTGGGCCAAAAATCAAAAATCTAAATACATGTTTAGATTCAGCATATCAAAGAAACTCATATATTCAATTTTTGCTAAAATCAAACAAAGTTTAATTTTGGACCCTTTGGACCTTAATGTAGACCAATTTGAAAACTGGACCCAAAATTAAAAATCTAAATACACTGTTAGATTCGGCATAACAAATAAATAAATGTGATCAAAGATTTTACAAATCTAATGCGCCATACTTTACTTCTTGAAATTTTTCAATATTTGAAATTTGAAAAAAAAATAATATTTGAAGAATAATTCTTTTTAATTTCTGAAATCTGAAATGAGAAAAAATTGACCCCCCACAATTTCTTTTTATCCCCCCCCCCCTTTTTTTCCCCCAAAAAATTCTTTCCCTCAAGATATGGCCATAATCTCAATTCAAATTTCCAATGGAGTTGGCAACCATAATTACCCATTTAAATTTACCATAGTGCTAACTTAATCTATTTTATAATAGAATTAAAAATATAGTGTCAAATCTTTCATATGGATTTTTTTGTAAAAAAAAAAGATGCAACATTTGCAGATATTTTTACTGGTCTTCCTTTAAAAATATGCATTTCTTTAAACATAATTTAAAAGCAGTGTAAGGGAAGTAACCAAAACGTTGTATTTGGATTACCTCCCTTACACTGTTTTAAATTATCTTTATTGTTCATTAACCATTACTTTATACATAATTTAAAAGCAGTGTAAGGGAGATAATTTCAATGATGTATTTGATTTATCTCCCTTACACTGCTTTAAATTATGTTTTGTACTAAAGTATTTGTCCATTAACCAGGACAACCTTGTTTTTCCCCTTTTTTGCCCCTAATTCCTAAACTGTTTGAGCCATAACCCCCCAAAGCAAATCCTAACCATCCCTTTGTGGTATGGAAACTTGTAGTATAATTTCAAAGAGATCCATACACCGTTCCACAGTTATTGTCTGGAAACTAGAAAATGCTTATTTTTGGCCCCTTTTTGGCCCCTAATTCCTTAACTGTTGGTACCATAACCCCCAAAATCAATCCCAACCTTCCTTTTGTGGTATTTAACCTTATGGTCAAATTTCAAAAAGATCCATTCACTTAAACTAAAGTTAGAGTGCGAAAACCAATGTGTCTTCGGACGACGACGCCGGACGACGACGCCGGACGACGACGCCAACGTCATACCAATATACGACCACAAAATTTTTTTGCGGTCGTATAAAAACTGCAAAATTTCCTTAAAATTAACAATTCAGGGGCAGCAACCCAACAACGGGTTGTCAGATTTGTCTGAAAATTTGAGGGCAGATAGATCTTGACCTGATAATCAGTTTTACCCTATGTCAGATTTACTCTAAATGCTTTGGTTTCAGAGATATAAGCCAAAATCTACATTTTACCCCTATGTTCTATTTTTAGCCATGGCGGCCATCTTGGTTGGTTGGCGGGGTCATCGGACACATTTTTCAAACTAGACACCCTTATGATGATTGTGGCCAAGTTTGGTTAAATTTGGCCAAGTGGTTTCAGAGGAGAAGATTTTTGTAAAAAGCTATCGACGACGGACGAGGGACGCCAAGTGATGAGAAAGCTCACTTGGCCCTTCGGGCTAGGTGAGCTAAAAATTACGCATTCCACACATATTAACATACTTTTGGTTAAGATATTTTTTATTAATGTTTATATTTCCTTTTTAATGCTTTGTTTCAATTTATAAGTTAATGTTGCTCAACCATGTCTATTACACTAACATAAAATAATTATATTATTTCCAAGCTTAACGGTTAAATGAATATATCTTTTTAATGAAAAATAATTAATTTCATGAACATGATAACAGAGTAGTTTTTTTAATTGAATTGTATATACAGTATAAACATGTAACATACACTAAGAGGTTCCTGACTGGTAATATACATATTTATACTGCACTCATTCTATTTGAGCAGTCAAAATGCGTTGACTGTATATTGCTATGTCATATACAGTCACTGACCCGATATCACTTTTCCTCATGAATATTTAAATAGAAGTTGCCAAAACTATATTTAATTATTCATACGACCTCTTCAACCTGTTCTTGTTTCCAATGTATACAATGAAGCGTGGAACGACCCAAACTTATTTCTTTTACAATTTTTGGAAACCATATTTCACTTGTTAATATTTTTTGTTTGAAACCTATATATCATTATGTTTTATGCTTATTGTTGATATTTTAGTCCATACTCAAACGAATTCCTTCACCATTGATTGTGGGTTTCAACAGGTAATGTACATTTCATTGCGTTGTCTATTTCTCCGCCTGATACCGGTATAAGGCCTTTTTAAAGGGGGATTTTTCCAATATTTAAATCAAATAAATAACATTTACACAATAAACAACAATTGAAAATGTTTTTTTCTAGATTGCAGTATAAAGACAATAATAGTGCATTGACTTGACATATCAACGATATAAGGATTCGGACCGAAACGGGGAAAAAGCTCGGCGGAGCCTCGCATTTCCCCGTTTCTAAGCCTCATCCTTATATCGTTGATATGTCAAGTCAATGCACTATTATCGTCTATATATAGTGTATATGCAGGGAGGTTGATATGCATGCATCTAAATTAGAGGACATACAGAATCAAAAGATATTTTTTATGTTCATATTAATAGAAGGGTTAATATACTGGTCTGCTTTCATTTCATTGTTCTTGTATTTTGATAAATTCTTAAAAAAAAAAAAAAAAAAAAATCCTTCGCTGGGCGCAGCTTGATACGAACGCAGAGGTCGAACCCTGAACAGTTGGGGCAAGTATGGACACAACATTCAAGCTTGATACAGCTCTGAATTTGGATTGTGATTAAATATTTGACACAGCATAGGTTTCTGACACAGAAAGAATGTGGTCTAAGAACTTCAATTTTTTTAATTTACCTATTATGGTCCAATGTCCAAAATCAAAATACATGGTTAGATTCAGCATATCAAAGAACCCCATATATTCAATTTTTGTTGAAATCAAACAAAGTTTAATTTTGGACCCCAACTTGGACCAACTTGAAAACTGGGCCCATAATCAAAAATCTAAACACATGTTTAGATTCAGCATATCAAAGAACCCCAGAAATTCAATTTTAGTTAAAATCAAACTAAGTTTAATTTTGGACCCTTTAGACCTCAATGTAGACCAATTTAAAAAACGAGACCCAAAATTAAAAATCTAAATACACGGTTAGATTTGGCATATCAAAGAACCCCAATAATTCAATTTTTGATGAAATCAAACAAAGTTTAATTTTGGACCCTTTTGACCTCAATATGAACCAATTTGATAGCGGGCCCACAAATAAAAAATCTAAATACATGGTTAGATTTAGCATATCAAAGAACCCCATATATTCAATTTTTGTTGAAATCAAACAAAGTTTAATTTTGGACCCCAATTTGGACCAACTTGAAAACTGGGCCAAAAATCTAAAATTTAAATACATATTTAGATTCAGCATATCAAAGAACCCCATATATTCAATTTTTGTTGAAATCAAACAAAGTTTAATTTTGGACCCCAACTTGGACCAACTTGAAAACTGGGCCCATAATCAAAAATCTAAACACGTGTTTAGATTCAGCATATCAAAGAACCCCAAGAATTCAATTTTTGTTAAAATCAAACTAAGTTTAATTTTGGACCCTTTGGACCTTAATGTACGGTAGACCAATTTAAATAAAATGCTTCGCTGGGGCGCAGCTTGATACGACTGCAGAGGTCGAACCCTGAACAGTTGGGGCAAGTATAGACACAACATTCAAGCTTGATACAGCTCTGAATTTGGATTGTTATTAAATATTTGACACAGCATAGGTTTCTGACACAGAAAGAATGTGGTCTAAGAACTTGAATTTTTTTAATTTATCTATTATGGTCCAATGTCCAAAATCAAAATACATGTTTAGATTCAGCATATCAAAGAACCCCAAGAATTCAATTTTTGCTAAAATCAAACCAAGTTTAATTTTGGACCCTTTGGACCTTAATGTAGACCAATTTTAAAAACGGGACTTAAAATTAAAAATCTAAATACACGGTTAGATTTGGAATATCAAAGAACCCCAATAATTCAATTTTTGATGAAATCAAACAAAGTTTAATTTTGGACCCTTTTGACCTCAATATGAACCAATTTGATAGCGGGGCCCACAAACAAAAAATCTAAATTCATGGTTAGATTCAGCATATCAAAGAACCCCATATATTCAATTTTTGTTGAAATCAAAAAAAGTTTAATTTTGGACCCCAACTTGGACCAACTTGAAAACTGGGCCCATAATCAAAAATCTAAACACATGTTTAGATTCAGCATATCAAAGAACCCCAAGAATTCAATTTTTGTTAAAATCAAACTAAGTTTAATTTTGGACCCTTTGGACCTCAATGAAGACCAATTTAAAAAACGGGACCCAAATTAAAAATCTAAAAACACGGTTAGATTTGGCATATCAAAGAACCCCAATAATTCAATTTTTGATGAAATCAAACAAAGTTTAATTTTGGACCCTTTTGACCTCAATATGAACCAATTTGATAGCGGGGCCCACAAATAAAAAATCTAAATACATGGTTAGATTCAGCATATCAAAGAACCTCATATATTCAATTTTTGTTGAAATCAAACAAAGTTTAATTTTGGACCCCAATTTGGACCTACTTGAAAACTGGGCCCATAATCAAAAATCTAAATACATGTTATGATTCAGCATATCAAAGAACCCCATATATTCAATTTTTGTTGAAATCAAACAAAGTTTAAATACTGGACCCTATCTTGGACCAACTTGAAAACTGGGCCCATAATCAAAAATCTAAACACATGTTTAGATTCAGCATATCAAAGAACCCCAAGAATTCAATTTTTGTTAAAATCAAACTAAGTTTAATTTTGGACCCTTTGGACCTTAATGTAGACCAATTTAAAAAACAGGACCCAAAATTAAAAATCTAAATACACGGTTAGATTTGGAAAATCAAAGAACCCCAATAATTCAATTTCAGATGAAATCAAACAAAGTTAAATTTTGGACCCTTTTGACCTCAATATGAACCAATTTGATAACGGGGTCCACAAATAAAAAATCTAAATACATGGTTAGATTCAGCATATCAAAGAACCCCATATATTCAATTTTTGTTGAAATCAAACAAAGTTTAATTTTGGACCCCAATTTGGACCAACTTGAAAAATCAAAAATCTAAATACACGTTTAGATTCAGCATATCAAAGAACCTCATATATTCAAATTTTGCTAAAATCAAACAAAGTTGAATTTTGGACCCTTTGGACCTTAATGTAGACCAATTTGAAAACTGGACCCAAAATTAAAAATCTAAATACACTGTTAGATTCGGTATATCAAAGAACCTCATATATTCAATTTTTGTTGAAATCAAACAAAGTTTAATTTTGGACCCCAATTTGGACCAACTTGAAAACTGGGCCCATAATCAAAAATCTAAATACATGTTATGATTCAGCATATCAAAGAACCCCATATATTCAATTTTTGTTGAAATCAAACAAAGTTTAAATACTGGACCCTATCTTGGACCAAATTGAAAACTGGGCCCATAATCAAAAATCTAAACACATGTTTAGATTCAGCATATCAAAGAACCCCAAGAATTCAATTCTTGTTAAAATCAAACTAAGTTTAATTTTGGACCCTTTGGACCTTAATGTAGACCAATTTAAAAAACAGGACCCAAAATTAAAAATCTAAATACACGGTTAGATTTGGAATATCAAAGAACCCCAATAATTCAATTTTAGATGAAATCAAACAAAGTTAAATTTTGGACCCTTTTGACCTCAATATGAACCAATTTGATAACGGGGTCCACAAATAAAAAATCTAAATACATGGTTAGATTCAGCATATCAAAGAACCCCATATATTCAATTTTTGTTGAAATCAAACAAAGTTTAATTTTGGACCCCAATTTGGACCAACTTGAAAAATCAAAAATCTAAATACACGTTGGGGCGCAGCTTGATACGACCGCAGAGGTCGAACCCTGAACAGTTAGGGCAAGTATGGACACAACATTCAAGCTTGATACAGCTCTGAATTTGGATTGTTATTAAATATTTGACACAGCATAGGTTTCTGACACAGAAAGAATGTGGTATAAGAACTTGAATTTTTTTAATTTACCTATTATGGTCCAATGACCAAAATCAAAATACATGGTTAGATTCAGCATATCAAAGAACCTCATATATTCAATTTTTGTTGAAATCAAACGAAGTTTAATTTTGGACCCCAATTTGGACCAACTTGAATAAAATGCTCCGCTGGGGCGCAGCTTGATACGACCGCAGAGGTCTAACCCTGAACAGTTGGGGCAAGTATGGACACAACATTCAAGCTTGATACAGCACTGAATTTGGATTGTAATTAAATATTTGACACAGCATAGGTTTCTGACACAGAATGAAAGTGGTCTAAGAACTTAAAAATTTTCAATTTACCTATTCATACATGTGATGGACTGTGAAACTCAGATCAGGAGATTGGGAAATTTTGGTCAGGAGATTAGGACTCAGATCAGGAGGTTTTTAATCGACATTAATTTTGTTGTAAATGTAACCGTGTGCTGTAAAAATGGTCTTTTAAAGTGTGTTTTCTTCAACTTTCCATCCAATTTATTATGTTTATAGTACCCTTGTACTTATAAAGTTTCTCCATCTTTATATTCTACATGTTCAATCTAACATTGTATTTTTCCAGTATGTTCTTTAAATTTTTTACTTCATATTCTATAAAACAATCATTGCAACCAGAACATTTGTTTAGCTATCTGCAAATAGTTTTTATTTTTTATTTTTTCTCTTGCAAATAGTTTATATTTGCAAACTCAGAAAATCATTTTATCTGTAAAATTAGGGTCATAGTTATTATATAAATTTCAATTTAAGCCTTGAAAGGAAGTCTAGAATCCTCAAATAATTTTCAAATTATTATTTTTTTATTTGTCCTAAGACATTTAAAATCATTTAATAACCATCCTTTTATGATTATTTGTTCAATTTATATTTTATTTATATTCTTTTAAAAATTTTCATTATTAAAAGGAAAGTAACTTAAAACAGGATAAATCAAGGGAAGTAACCCAATAAATACACAGTTTTTGTTACACAACGGCAGTTAGCCTGAGGTAAAAATCGTTGATTACCTGTGTGTTTGACACCCAAGCTGACAAGTGAAGCCATATAATTATGCATGTTAATTGATTTACAGGTAAAATATAACTTCAGGTAATGTCAGTTACACCAGATGCCTGAGATGATATGTTGGGCAGAAATTTTTCATTCATGAAAAATTTCATACACGGGATTTTTTCCTCTTCAACGGGAGGTCGGGAGGAGACCCCTGAAAACGGGATTATTGTACTCCCGTCGGGAGGTTCACATGTATGCCTATTCAAACCATATCATTATTATTTGCTTTTATATATAAATCAGAAATAACCAATTTAAAATGGAAAATGTTAAAGAAAAAAAAGGAAAAAAAAATCCCCCCCCCCCCCAATTTTTTGAACCCCCTTATGATTCATCACCCCCAAACTCAATCCCAGCTTTCCCTTTGTGGTATGGTACCTTGCAGTACAATTTCAGAGAGATTCATACACTTGAACACAAGTTATTGTCTGGAAACTAGAAAAATGCTTGTTTTTTGGCCCCTTTTTGGCCCCAAATTCCTAAACGTTTAGGGCAATTACCCCCAAACTCAATTCCAGCTTTCCCTTTGTGATATGGAACCTTGCAGTACAATTTCATAAAGATCCATACACTTACACACAAGTTATTGTCCTGAAACTAGAAAAATGCATGTTTTTTTTGCCCTTTTATGGCCCCTAATTACTAAAATTTTGAGGGAAAACCCCCAAAATCAATCCCAGCCTTCCCTTTGTGATATGGAACCTTGTAGTACAATTTCATAAAGATCCATACACTTACAAACAAGTTATTGTCATGAAACTAGAAAAATGCTTGTTTTTTGCCCCTTTTTTGCCCCTAATTCCTAAAATTTGGAGGAAATTACCCCAAAAATCAATCCCAGTATTCCCTTTGTGATATGGAACCTTGTAGTACAATTTCATAAAGATCCATACACTTACAAACAAGATATTGTCATGAAACTAGAAAAATGCTTGTTTTTTGCCCCTTTTTGGCCCCCAATTCCTAAAATTTGGAGGCAATTACCCCCAAAATCAATCCCAGCATTCCCTTTGTGATATGGAACCTTGTGGTACAATGTCAGAGAGATCCATACACTTACACACAAGTTATGTCTGGAAGTTACAAAAATGCTTATTTTTGGCCCCTTTTGGCCCCTAATTCCTTAACTGTTAGTACCATAACCCCCAAAATCAATCCCCACCTTCCTTTTGTGGTATTGAACCTTATGGTAAAATTTCATTGAGATCCATTCACTTAAACTAAAGTTAGAGTGCGAAAACTAATGTGTATTCGGACGACGACGCCGGACGACGACGACGCCGGACGACGACGACGACGACGACGACGACGACGACGCCAACGTCATACCAATATACGACCACAAAAATTTTTTTGCGGTCGTATAAAAATCAAAAATCTAAATACACGTTTAGATTCAGCATATCAAAGAACCTCATATATTCAAATTTTGCTAAAATCAAACAAAGTTGAATTTTGGACCCTTTGGACCTTAATGTAGGCCAATTTGAAAACTGGACCCAAAATTAAAAATCTAAATACACTGTTAGATTCGGCATATCAAAGAACCTCATATATTCAATTTTTGTTGAAATCAAACAAAGTTTAATTTTGGACCCCAATTTGGACCAACTTGAAAACTGGGCCCATAATCAAAAATCTAAATACATGGTTAGATTCAGCATATCAAAGAACCCCATATATTCAATTTTTGTTGAAATCAAACAAAGTTTAATTTTGGACCCCAATTTGGACCAACTTGAAAAATCAAAAATCTAAATATACGTTGGGGCGCAGCTTGATACGACCGCAGAGGTCGAACCCTGAACAGTTAGGGCAAGTATGGACACAACATTCAAGCTTGATACAGCTCTGAATTTGGATTGTTATTAAATATTTGACACAGCATAGGTTTCTGACACAGAAAGAATGTGGTATAAGAACTTGAATTTTTTTAATTTACCTATTATGGTCCAATGACCAAAATCAAAATACATGGTTAGATTCAGCATATCAAAGAACCTCATATATTCAATTTTTGCTAAAATCAAACAAAGTTGAATTTTGGACCCTTTGGACCTTAATGTAGACCAATTTGAAAACTGGACCCAAAATTAAAAATCTAAATACACTGTTAGATTCGGCATAACAAATAAATAAATGTGATCAAAGATTTTACAAATCTAATGCGCCATACTGTGCAATTAAAGATTACTTCTTGAAATTTTTCAATATTTGAAATTTGAAAAAAAAATAATATTTGAAGAATAATTCTTTTTAATTTCTGAAATCTGAAATGAGAAAAAATTGACCCCCCACAATTTCTTTTTATCCCCCCCCCCTTTTTTTCCCCCAAAAAATTCTTTCCCTCAAGATATGGCCATAATCTCAATTCAAATTTCCAATGGAGTTGGCAACCATAATTACCCATTTAAATTTACCATAGTGCTAACTTAATCTATTTTATAATAGAATTAAAAATATAGTGTCAAATCTTTCATATGGATTTTTTTGTAAAAAAAAAAGATGCAACATTTGCAGATATTTTTACTGGTCTTCCTTTAAAAATATGCATTTCTTTAAACATAATTTAAAAGCAGTGTAAGGGAAGTAACCAAAACGTTGTATTTGGATTACCTCCCTTACACTGTTTTAAATTATCTTTATTGTTCATTAACCATTACTTTATACATAATTTAAAAGCAGTGTAAGGGAGATAATTTCAATGATGTATTTGATTTATCTCCCTTACACTGCTTTAAATTATGTTTTGTACTAAAGTATTTGTCCATTAACCAGGACAACCTTGTTTTTCCCCCTTTTTTGCCCCTAATTCCTAAACTGTTTGAGCCATAACCCCCCAAAGCAAATCCTAACCATCCTTGGTGGTATGGAAACTTGTAGTATAATTTCAGAGAGATCCATACACCGTTCCACAGTTATTGTCTGGAAACTAGAAAATGCTTATTTTTGGCCCCTAATTCCTTAACTGTTGGTACCATAACCCCCAAAATCAATCCCAACCTTCCTTTTGTGGTATTTAACCTTATGGTCAAATTTCAAAAAGATCCATTCACTTAAACTAAAGTTAAGAGTGCGAAAACCAATGTGTCTTCGGACGACGACGCCGGACAACGACGACGACGACGCCAACGTCATACCAATATACGACCACAAAATTTTTTTGCGGTCGTATAAAAACGGGACCCAAAATTAAAAGTCTAAATACACGGTTAGATTTGGCATATCAAAGAACCCCAATAATTCAATTGTTGATGAAAATCAAACAAAGTTTAATTTTGGACCCTTTTAACCTCAATATGAACCAATTTGATAGCGGGGTCCACAAATAAAAATCTAAATACATGGTTAGATTCAGCATATCAAAGAACCCCATGTATTCAATTTTTGTTGAAATCAAACAAAGTTTAATTTTGGACCCCAATTTGGACCAACTTGAAAACTGGGCCAAAAATCAAAAATCTAAATACATGTTTAGATTCAGCATATCAAAGAACCCCATATATTCAATTTTTGCTAAAATCAAACAAAGTTGAATTTTGGACCCTTTGGACCTTAATGTAGACCAATTTGAAAACTGGACCCAAAATTAAAAATCTAAATACACGGTTAGATTCGGAATAACAAATAATTAAATGTGGTCAAAGATTTTACAAATCTAATGCGCCATACTGTGCAATTAAAGATTACTTCTTGAAATTTTTCAATATTTGAAATTTGAAAAAAAAATAATATTTGAAGAATAATTCTTTTTAATTTCTGAAATCTGAAATGAGAAAAAATTGACCCCCCACAATTTCTTTTACTGGTCTTCCTTTATAAATATGCATTTCTTTAAACATAATTTAAAAGCAGTGTAAGGGAAGTAACCAAAACGTTGTATTTGGATTACCTCCCTTACACTGTTTTAAATTATCTTAATTGTTCATTAACCATTACTTTATACTTAATTTAAAAGCAGTGTAAGGGAGATAATTTCAATGATGTATTTGATTTTTCTCCCTTACACTGCTTTAAATTATGTTTTGTACTAAAGTATTTGTCCATAAACCAGGACAACCTTGTTTTTCCCCCTTTTTTGCCCCTAATTCTTAAACGGTTTGAGCCATAACCCCCCAAAGCAAATCCTAACCATCCCTTTGTGGTATGGAAACTTGTAGTATAATTTCAGAGAGATCCATACACCATTCCACAGTTATTGTCTGGAAACTAGAAAATGCTTATTTTTGGTCCCTTTTTGGCCCCTAATTCCTTAACTGTTGGTACCATAACCCCCAAAATCAATCCCCACCTTCCTTTTGTGGTATTGAACCTTATGGTAAAATTTCATAGAGATCCATTCACTTAAACTAAAGTTAGAGTGCGAAAACTAATGCGTCTTCGGACGACGACGACGCCAACGTCATACCAATATACGACCACAAAAATCTTTTTGCGGTCGTATAAAAAAATTACACACAAGTTATTGTCATGAAACTAGAAAAATGCTTGTTTTTTGCCCCTTTTTTGGCCCCTAATTCCTAAAATTTTGAGGCAATTACCCCCCAAATCAATCCCAGCATTCCCTTTGTGATATGGAACCTTGTGGTACAATATCAGAGAGATCCATAAACTAACACACAAGTTATGTCTGGAAGTTACAAAAATGCTTATTTTTGGCCCCTAATTCCTTAACTGTTGGTACCATAACCCCAAAAATCAATCCCAACCTTCCTTTTGTGGTATTGAACCTTATGGTAAAATTTCATAGAGATCCATTCACTTAAACTAAAGTTAGAGTGCGAAAACCAATGTGTCTTCAGACGACCATGCCAACGTCATACCAATATACGACCACAAAATTTTTTTGTGGTCGTATAAAAATCAGTTGAAAATGGCTTAACCTATTTCTGAGGATCCTCCCAAACCTGCTAAAGTAATCCTGATCTTCTATCAGTTTGTGGGGTTGATAAGCTATACAATGGGGAGGATGTGAATTGTCTTTTAGTCACTGTTGACCCTGCTGTCAATTCGGAACTTCTAGATCATGCTGAATGTCCGCATAGGAGTGTGAAATAGTATTTCTTTGCGGAGTTGAAATGTTTTTTTCGTCATCAAAACCTTCCGATCAACGACAATGTTTTGACGACATTCCACTTTTCTATTAATGCTGGTATTTACCTTTTATCATCCTTGGTGTGTGCCATAAACAGAAGCCGTACCGAGTAATTAATATTCGATCACCTGTTGATTGTTCTTTCAAACTATTATCACTTGGTAATTAGCATTGGACATGTTGGGCCGTTTAACTAAATAAGTTCGATACACATGGGTTTTTACATTTTTAATTTATAGAGGTAGAAACCCGAGTGTATCGAATTTTTCACATGTCAACTTTGGCACTGTTAGTTTTGGATTTAAAAAAAAACTTTTTTCAGACCTTATAGATCGAAATTGTTTACCTTACAATGGGTCTGACATGATAGTTATTTGAAAAGGTCAGATGATTTTACAACAGCTTTTGTTTTCGATAAAAATCAGATGGATATTGATAGTTTTGGCGGATTTTCGCAATATTCAAAGTACCAAATGTTCTGACGAGAAAAAGAAAAAATATATTCGAGAAAACTTGAGTTATTACTGACATGTGGCGATTAAGCATAGATCAGTCATCATTGTTATATCAACGACTGAAACGATCTTAAAAGCAACTAAATATTAAAATACCACTCGAAATAAACCTGAACTCTTTCACACAGATTTTTAAGTAATATCAGTCACATGATGTCAATCGGTTGACTGCTCATAATGCAAAATATAACTCTTATCTTAAATTTTGAAAACTGACAAAAAACACAGTTCGATTCTTTACTTCACAATGTCAATGATTTACAATAAATAAATGAGGAATGTGTCCATGGGACAGAGATGATGCCCCCCCGCTTGCATATCATATAAAGTTAAAAAGGGACATAACTGAAGAACGGTAAAAGTGACACTACCCAAATTTGTTCTTGATCTGAGTTTTGTGGTAATAAGTATTGTGTAAAAGTTTCATAACATTTGGTTGAGGCAAACTTAAGTGAGAGAACGGAAATGAAAAATTCAGCAATTTTTCCATTTGTAAAGGGCATTACTCTAGAACGGTTAAAGTAACGTCACCCAAATTCGTACTTGATATGTGTTTTGTGGTAATTAGCATTGTGTATAAGTTTCATAACGTTTGGTTGAGGCAAAGATGATGCCCCCCGCTTGCATATCATATAAAGTTAAAAAGGGACATAACTGAAGAACGGTAAAAGTGACACTACCCAAATTTGTTCTTGATCTGAGTTTTGTGGTAATAAGTATTGTGTATAAGTTTCATAACATTTGGTTGAGGCAAACTTAAGTTAGAGAACGGAAACGAAAAATTCAGCAATTTTTCCATTTATAAAGGGGCGTAATACAGGAACGGTAAAAGTGACACCACTCAAATTCGAACTTGATCTGTGTTTTGTGCTAATAAGCTTTGTGTAAAAGTTTCATAATATTTAGTCAAGGGAAACTAAAGTTAGAGAACGGAAACCAATTTTGGGACGTACAGACGGACAAGGGTAAACCTTAATGCCCCCTCCGCTACGGTGGGTGCATAAAAAATCAAAATCCTGTAGCCATGCACTCCTCCATTATGTGTTTGAAGATCCTACAAAATATTTAAGCTGTAACTCCAAAACTGTAGGAGGAGATAGCCCGACAAACCATGATCTCTTTATGCAGCTAATACCAAAAAAATGACCAATTCCAACTACCTCCCATTTTCAGAATATTTGAAAAAAATCAATATCCTGTGGCCATGCACACCTTCATTATGTGTATGAACATCCTACAAAATATTAAAGTTGTACCTCGAAAACTGTAAAAGGAGAGATAGCCGGACAAACAATGTATCCTAATCTGGACAGACGGACGAACGGACAGACATCTACAGGGGTAAATTAATATGCCCCTCGACATTTTGTTGCGGGGGTATAAAAATGGTAAAATATCAGAAATCAACTTTTAATGTTTGAATCAGTGTTTATATTGAACAGATTGAAAACATATTATTAATATTGAATAAATACAACATCACATGCAGTTTTGTGAGTTGATACATGTAGTTTTATCTACTAAGAAGATAATTTTTTGTTTTAGGCAAATTAATCAATGTGTAGGAATTTCTCACATTAACAAAACTGGCAAATGTATCGATATCAATGCAGGAATATTTGGTACCACAAAATATTGCTCTAAGTTCTTGTTTTAAACATTTTCATTACCTGGAAATTTGTCTGTTTCATGAGATAACCTTCTTTGGTACATGCCTGAAATTATAAATAGAAAAACTTTTATTTTATAATAAATTGCACATGTATTAGAAATAAATATAGGCGTTATTGTCCAGTTTTAGTATAATCATAATGGTATTATTTCTAAACCCTATTGACAATGATTGAACTTGTTTAATCTTAAAACTCCTGTATTTACGTATCATAAACTTTTTCCCTTAGAAATTCTGGAGATACAACTTGGCCAAACTATTGAAAACTTCAAGCTTAGTGGGTATTATAAATATTCAAATATCTTTTAACAGAAAGTAAATGCATGGGATATCTAATCAAGGCTTACAGGGTACTACTCAACATTATGAATCTCCAAACAAAATATCAAATCCTTGATACATAAACTAAGAAAAAAATGGCAAAAAATCCACGCTCAGTTGTCCTGGGTATTATAGAAGTATTGTCAAACAGAAAGTGACTGCCCGCAGATCTGAAAATTGCTTATACAGTTCAACTCTGCATTTTGCAGCTCTTGTCACAAGGTGTCAAGACATAATATCAAACTATTCCTTAATACTGTAGCTAAAAAGTATGTTGCAAAAAAATTCCATGTTGAGTGGACATAAAAAATTTCACAGTATCTTCAAAAAGTAAGTGACTGTTAAGCAGATTTTAAACAATATAAATCTATGAATCATTTACCAATACATGTACTTGCAAAACATTTTGAAACCAACTTTATTTCAAGCAAATAATGGCATTGTATCTTAAAAAAAATAGAATCATGAAGTTTTTAAAAACTTTGGTAAATTCATGTGATAAAATGTTTAAGAATTTACAGAAAGAGAACAAAATAGGTACAATTGCTCTGTATATCGAAGACAAAATATCTTTGCATCCTCCTATTGTTGTGAAGCGCTTAAAAGGAAATTTTCTTTTATATCATCAGCACTGTACGGTATTGAAAGATTAAGATCTTTAAAACAACAATCATTGCAACATTTATTTACGTAGACATATTTTCACTGCATTTAACAGTAATACAAGAAATACAGAAGCTAAGAAGTGATCCTCTAGTTTCTACATGATATCAGCACACTAAATGTTAGTCAAAGGAAGATAACTCTGGTTAGTCAGTCTGCAAGCACAGCAAAAGAAGATAGTACAGATTTGTCAGGACTTTAAAGAAAACTTATTTAAAAGCACACTTCAATTAAAAAAAAACTAATTAAAGATTGTATATGTTTCATTTGTTTTCTCTGAAAGGTTGATAATGAGTAATTTTAAAGTTAATTATTTAAACTTCATTGATTAATTGATGTTTGCTAATGTCCAGTGGCAATTATTGATACATGTACATATTCAGGACGATAAATATACAATGAAGATTTTAAATCAACTGAGACATCAGAAAAAACAAAATTTTGCTTTGATAATATATTTCAAAGAATGTTTTTATATAATTATATTTTTATGAATAAATATATGTCAATATAAATGACACAGCTGTTGACTGAAGTACCAATGTTAAATTAAGTGCAAATTAGACATTCTTTCACTTTCTCAACATACATTGTAAGTTTATCAACTGATAAAATCTTTTAAAGTGTATCAAAATACTTCATTGAATAGAGCTTCAAGATATATATTATATACCCAATTAAGGATAATATAGATACATATAGCGGGATGTACATTTACACACTTTCTAAGGTTGGCGTTATAGTATCTATGCAAAAGAATTCTTTCAGAACTGAATAATTTTTATGCAAAGAAATACCTACAATAAACTGTGCAATGAAAAATATTTGGGTTTCGTGAATGATAAATCTGTGCAAAACCTAAAGGCTGTGAAAATACTGTTGTTTCGACATCTATTGACATTTAGCTCTATACCTCAAAAAGTGAGGGTTTCATAATTCTTGTCAATAGTATGTTGGCATATTGGAGTTTATCTACCCTAACTCTGATTTTGATGCTCATGTCAAAGGGTCTTCTCACCAACACAAGTCACAATACCGCACATGAAACATTTGTCATACTTGGTTTTTATTTATGAGCATCTAAATATGTTAGAAACACCTTTAGATGATTAAATGTTTCTTGTGTGATATTGTGACTAACATTACTGAGAAGACCCTGCGATACCAGTTTAAAATATCTTTTGACAGAGTACATTTGTACACCCGACTTTGATCTCATTTTCATTTTTTATTGGTCAATGCAAAGTTTTGTTTTTAGTTCTATTATGTTGCTAGAGTTGTCTTTAACTTGCAGCAAGGTGTGATCTTTTGTTTAAAGTTTAAAGACTCACTCTGACTTTTAAATTGAAGAACAGCTATAACAGCATTGTTCCTTTGCTTTTCATTTACCCAAGTGTGTATAGTGATTTTGTTATATGACTTGAATTTTCTCCTTTCTTTTTCATTATGTACATTTTGCAATGATCATATACATGCATGTAGGCCACATTGCTTATCGAAACTGACCTTATCGTGGAAACTTAAAATTGATCACTGTACAATGAAATAAAGTCAACATAAAGTGTATTGCAAATGTTTAACTCCATTGCCTATGGATTAGTATCCCTATGTCTGTCATTCCACGAATTTGTCACAGGCAAATTGCAAGTTTTTTAAAATGAAAGTTTTTTAATCATATGGGTAGGGTGAATACCATGTATCTAAAATCAATGCATTACACATGTACATTGAAAGGAATGAGACATAAAAAATATAAATGACAGATACTAAGAGATGACAACAACTAAGTTGATCTTTTATATACAATGTACCAGGTGAGTGTAAATCGTTATACATGTATATCCATCATCCCCAAAAAATAATTTATTATTACTATAATAGGACAGCCTTTAATGCCTAGCAACAAAATTTCTCTATTGGTAAGCTGGTATGAGAAGTAGTATTAGTGGTGATACCAGAACAATTTACGTACCAACCTCTGTTTTCCTCCCTGAAAACATACAAGGAAAATAAACATTTATACATGAAAACAGTATCAAAATGTGCACCAGTCATCCAGTCAAGTTTCACCCATGAATCCCTTTATTCTTATTACCTAGCAGGACCTTTTTTGCTTTAAAAACTTTGTAGCAAATCTAACTAATTACTAAGGCTGTTAATTTCAAATGACATTTCAATTTTGTAACTACATTATCTCCTAACTTCATTTATATTACTAGATAACCAATCCATATACTAAGTCATATATGACAAAGTTTTGGGTGTTACAAAACATGTAAATGTTGGTTAACGTCTTTCACCAACCTTCACGATGTTAAATACAGTAATTCATTACTTTTTCACATCAGATAGAAGACAGTTGAAGCCAAAATGGTAACACATAGACAATTAATTTTACTAATTGCATGTATAGTTTCTTATGATATCTTTTTATATTCTACATGTATATTCCAGTACATAATTTAATGATCAAAGTTGATTGAATATTGAAATAATAAGAGTACATGTACAAACATATTAAAATGATATCTCTAGAATCACTGCACTTATCTTGTATTTGAAACAAGTTGTGCAGAAAATATTGCAAATACTGCATTTTTCTTTTTCTCTTTTTTGTATTTATAGCAGATTTCCAAAAAATAATTCATTACTTGGACTGCAATTAAATTTGCTCTGCTAAAGCAAAGAAGATAAATAATTGTTATATGTTTAAAAATAGTATGTTCCAATTTAATGTTCGTTTTTAATCTTCACTGTACTAATCTTCATATTTTAATTTCCATCAGTCCTGTCAACTTAGTTTAGATACTTTCTATCATCCTTTAATAAATATGAATGAAAAAGTTATAAATCATGACATTTATTGCTTAAAGGAATTACCAATCATGAAAAATTTACTAATATTTTGTAAAATATTGATTGAAATGTAAATATAGAAAGTTTTCCATTAATGATTTTATCCTTTAGGGATAATGACAATGTTTGATATGAAATTGACATCTGCTTCAGAATTTTACACAATTGTTGAACAAAAACCATTTTCAGTTAAAATTATTATTTTATTAAAAATAATTATCATACATCAATATGGTAGTTTTTGTAAATGCAATTTGTGTATACTTATAGATTTATTTACATAAGATTTATAAATAGATATAATTTATCAACAAATGTTGCCAGTTTTGGCTATTAAACTTATTCTAAAGACATGATTTAAAGAGAAGTAAAACTTCAATACATCGGACAGCGATACTACATGCATCATGACTACATCAGTGGTGATATTAACCAACATAAAATAATTAAATACAAGAGGTTGATCAAAACACACTGAAAGCATCTGTTAACTTTCTATTTTAAACATGTTATTTTCACACCTTATTACCTGCTGTTGGTAATGTAGATGCAGCAGGTACATGTAATACAGAATACAATCTGATGTACACTAAATGTTGCAAAATCCTTTGTATTGAAATGGAAATTAGAAATGCAGACAAAAACTTGCTGTACACGATAGCAAAAACAATTGATTTGAATGGCAATCCAGAACACAATCCTATTATATTAACAAGGAATTATTTGAATCTGGAATAATTTTGATGCATGCATTGCTAAAGTTTACTTTCACTAATATTTCAGGATGAACTAACCAACCCCTCTTAGCCATGCATGCATGGCTAACCTTTCTGAATTTTGTAAGTTTTCATCATACATTTCTTATCAATTTTCCAGAACTCAAAATTATTCCAGATTCAAAAAAATTGCTTCGCCTGGCGCAGCTGGATACGACCGAAGAGGTCCAACAGTTGGGGCAAAAATGGACACAATATTCACGCTTGATACAGGTCTGAATTTGGATTGTAATTAAATATTTGACACATTATAGGTTTCTGACACAGAATAACTGTAGTCAAAGAACTAAGAATTGGTTATATGATTTGAATTTATATTCAATTTTTTGCTTTTGTGCAATACATTATGCTGTTGCGAATTGATCCCCCCCAAAAAAATAGTTGAAATTATCTTTTAAATTTCTGAAATCTGAAGTGAGAAAAAATTGTCCCCCCTCACAATTTCTTTTTTACCCCCCCCCCCCCACCCAATTTTTTTTTTCACCTCCCCCCCCCCCCCCCTTTTCCAAAATAAAAAATTCTTTCCCTCAAGATATAGTCATAATCTCAATTCAAATTTCCAATTGAGTTTGCAACCATAATTACCCATTTAAATACATCATAAAAGTCTTAAAATAGAAAATGACATACATAATCATGACTAAAATTTATATTCCTTAATCAGCATTTTTAAATAGTAACTTCTAAAAATAAATTGACAGCTAATCACCTCAAGACAATACAACATTTCTTTATACATAATTTAAAAGCAGCGTAAGGGAGGTAATCCAAACACAACATTGCACTTTTTTTTAATCGTCCATTAACCAGGAAACCCTTGTTTTTCCCCCTAAATCCTAAACCGTTTGAGCCATAACCCCCCCAAAGCCAATCCTAACCATCCCTTTGTGGTATGGAAACTTGTGGTATAATTTCAGAGAGATCCATACACCTAACCACAAGTTAATGTCTGGAAACTAGAAAAATGCTTATTTGAGCCCCTTTTTGGCCCCTAATTCCTGAACTGTTAGGACTATAACCCCCTAAATCAATCCCAACCTTCCTTTTGTGGTTATAAACCTTGTGTTTAAATTTCATAGATTTCTATTTACATTTACTAAAGCTATTGTCCGGAAACCAAATGTCTTCGGACGACACTGACGACGACGTGATACCAATATACGACTGCAAAAAATTTTGCGGTCATATAATAATTCCTTTTTATTGTACATGTATCTGCCATAATGACCGCTGGAGACAATCACTGACATGACCTTAGATAACCAAACATCAGCATATTCATTTTATATATGTGTACAGCATAAATGTTTATTAGACTATTTACATCATAATGTCATTAAATGTAATTGGATTGGATATCCTGCATTTATCCTAAAATAAGGTCAGATACATGTATACATGTATTACTGATGTATCATAAAATATGTAAATAAATAAACTTGAAAACATACATTTTTAAGGTAACAAACGTTGCCAAGGTATGAGTTACATGGCAAAATGACCAAATTGTTATAAATTAGCAAATGATACTTTCTGTTTGTTATTTCCAGTCAATTTACTACTCTAACAGACCATGTGAAGGTTATTCTAAAACCAAAAGATTGACCATGAGAAAATCAGTATCATAAGTTTTTTTAATACCATATGGGCCGATATGGCTGTTGAACATGTATATTCAGACCCTGAGTGTACCATCAGGCATCAGCACAGTAGCTGTTACTTTGGTACAGATATGATACATGTTGATCCTTATTTCCAGTTCATAAGTTTTGTACTGGGTAACTGTACTTAAACTAAGATTGCAACTACATGTACCTCATGCTCAGCTGTCTACCGTCAGAAGGGTTTGACACCTCTGTTTAGGACCATTAGAATTATATACTTTCAAACGTTTTATATTTTTGAATTTTCAAAGATTTTGTCTTGAATCTACCTGATATATTCAAAGATGTTGTCTTGAATCGACCTGATATATAACTACTTAATGAAAATGTTGCTGATCAATGTAAAAGAGTATTATAGAGGTAAAATATAAATGAAAATGAAAGATATCTACAAAAATGTACAAGAAAATTCAATGATTATTTCCTGGCCATTAAAAGCACTTTAAGGTGAATGCAGCTGCATTAATGTAACTTTTGGTGTCAAGTCTTTAGATACATGTACTGGCATAATGGCAGCCAAGCAACATTTGAATTTTTTTTTTACTAAGGATATAGTGGAACAAAAAACAGAACAGCTAGTATATAGACACTAAGTGATCAATTAACCAAAAAGTTCCATGGGCACTACTTTTTTTTACTGTATATATCTGAAACAACTTCATTTATCACCTGATCTTTTTGACCTTAAAATTTATATATGGTGAGATCTTTCTAGCACTTCTTTGTCTAATTAACTTCATTAAATTGTATTTCACCAAGTCCAATTATAATTCAATATTTAGTCAAATCATTTTCATGCAGACAGAAACAAGTGAAACTGTGAGCTATTGCTCACTGATGATACCCCTGCCGCAACTGGATAATTTTAATAGTGTAAAAATATTGAAGTGTTCGGTAAACAAGAAGTTGTTGAGTGATGAATCTGAAAACGCATCACACGGTATAGCTGACTTAAATAAACCCTGAAACCAAATTTCAGAAATCTTATGATGTGGTTCCTGAGAAAGATGCGACGAAAAATATTCATGGGACAGATGGACGGACTGATGGATGGACGTACGGATGGATGTAAAACAGTATACCCCACTTTTTTAAAGCGGCGTATAAAAAGCAACGTACAAATTATACAAAAAGAGAAAAACCAATTCTTATACTGTGTACAATGTACATGCATTATGGTATTAAAGAAGAGTAATTTTTGTACTTAAGGGAGAACTGATTTATTTACTGTGGATTTGTATCACAATAATGAATACTTCATGTCACTTCAACTTCTCATATTTTTAACATCTATTTGGATAAGATCCAAATTTGTTGCACTTTTGTCAGTTATCCAAGTGAAAATATGTATCACATGTATTGCATATCAGTCCTTAATAGCCCATAAAAACATTTGAGGGTGCCATACCCTAACCCATTTAGGCTGTACCCTTCTGTTGATTGTACAATTGAAAACAAAGAGGACTTTCAATTTTTAAAGCAAATCAGGTTTTACATTTATATAATAAGTGTCATTATTAAAGTAAGGCCAACTAAAATTTAGTAGATTTTCATCCAGATTTTAAAAAAAAAATGGGGCAGGTGGGAGGATTTTATTTTTTAATTTTTATTTCTCCGGTTTACCCTTCTGTGATGTGTTGTTCTTATACAAGGCTAATAATAAGCTTATATCATGTATATATATGGAATTTAACATTATTTTTTAAATTCTTAAATTAATATTTCTAATTGGCAACCACTGTTCTACATGTCATTGCCGCTTTAGAAACCTTCTTTTAGAAAATAGCAAAAACGTGGAGAAATGTTCTCTTTTAGACTACCTTGACTAAATTTATTTTGCTTTCTTAGCTATGATTTGTAGTGCCCATAAAATGAAGCATATGCATTGGTATGCAACACAAACATGAGTACAGAGTGAAATGAAAACACATACTGTTTTGAAAATACCAGGGTTGATGCTTTTAAGATTCTTATGCAAGGTGCAAATATAATTACAATGTAAAACATGAACTGAACCAAAACGAAGAAGTTGCTTAATGACTCTATTGAGGGGTTGGGAACAGAGGGTGTTTGCTGTTTGTCAACAAAAACAACAGCCTTTGGGTAAATCTAAGGGCTTGCTATAATACATTTTGTACATTGGCCAACTCTTTGTACTCAATATACGGTCATAAATCTCACAAGTTCGTGCTTGTGTCAATCACTTTAATCCAGTCTTTTTTGTACCAATGTGTTCCACTATTTTTTGCTCTTTGGATACCATTCACAGTCCAAATTTCCTGACACAAAGTCATTGTATAACTAAAAAATTTGTAAGGGTTCCGCGGAACCCATTGTCTCGCCTACTTTTGCTGTTAATCGCAGGCTCAACAAAAAACTGCTTCGCTGAGCGCAGCTGGATACGCCCTGCAGAGGTCCGACCCTGAACAGTTGGGGCAAAAATGGACACAATATTCAAGCTTGATACAGGTCTGAATTTGGATTGTAATTAAATATTTGACATATTATTTAAATGTTTCTGAATAAATGTAGTCGAAGAACTTGAAATTGGTTATATGAATTGAATTTATATTCAATTAAAGATTTCTTGCTGTTGTGTAATACACTGTGCTGTTGCGCAATACTTTGTAAATCTGTTGTCAGACTATAAACAAATAAAGTTCAATTTATTCTCAATGTCATATTAGAAATTTATGAAAATGTAAAGGGAGCTTACATCAATAGATATAATGAAACAATTCACCAAAGTTTCATGAGAATTGCTGACAGCATTTTTTAGTTATTGTCCGAAAACTGGAAAATCCCCCCTTTTTTAATGAATAAAACCCCATAACTCAGAAATGCAAAATGTAAAATTTATAAAATTCTTAAGGGAGCTTACATCAATACATAGAAACAATTCACCAAAGTTTCATAAGTATTGCTGAAAGCATTTTTTAGTTTTTGTCTGAAAACTGGAAAATCCCCCCTTTTTTTATGAATAAAACCCTGCAACTCGGAAACGTAAAATCTAAAATTTATAAAAATCAAAAGGGAGCTCATGTCAATAGATATAAACAATTCACCACAATTTCTTGCAAGTTAGTGAAAGAATTCTTGACTTATTGTCTGAAAACTGGAAAATCCCCCTTTTTTTAATGAATAAAACCCCATAACTTGGAAACGTTTAATCTAAATTTTATAAAAAACGAAAGGGAGCTCACGTCAATAGATATAAACAATTCACCAAAGTTTCAAGCAAATTGGTTAAAGCATTTTTGAGTTAATGTCTGACATGTTGAAGACGGACGGACAGACGGACGGACGGACAGAGGTATACCATAATACGTCCCGTAAACGGGCGTATAAAAAATTCAGGGCGGGACGATAACAGAGGGGCGGGCGGGGATGAAAATCTATCAATTAATTTTAATTGGCCTAATCAAGACTTGACAAAAAATTAACCAAAGGACTGTTGGACATTTGGTCTGACAGGTTATCATTTTTCTGACCAATAAAAAATCAGTCAGACCAAATTGAGAAAAATATTCCTATATTGGTAAAATTTTGAAAATTAACTAGTTTTTTTTCAATACCAGTTTCAATTAATACTCTACATACACATATCCAGTATTTAGCACATGCCTGGTACTACAATGTACTAAAGTAAACACAAATCTGTAATGTTTCAAAGAGTTTCTCAATTTTTTATAGTACTAATTTTAACAGAAATAGATAAGGGATACATCATTTAAGGTTTTATCAAAATGTCTCTGGTTAAAAGCAATATTGAAACTTATGTTTATTTGATTTTTGAACAAAAATATGGGATAAAATATGTTTGCCTACCAGACATTTGGATCAGTGAATGGTTTTTTTTATCAAATATTTTAAAATTTCGATGGTGTTCATTCGAGATGAAAGTTTTTTCACTTAGCAGAACCTCTTATATTATGTTTCCAAAAAACCTCTACTGTTCTACCTTTTATGATCTTTTATTGCGATTGCACTGGATTAATCCTGGCCTACACATTATCCTAGACGATTTTCAATGGTGGAACTGGAAGCCAACATCTTTTTCACAGGAAGTGTTGACGTGGAGTATCACGTTGTTTATTTACATATTTTTTGGACCCCTCTGAATATTTCTTCAATTGCAATGCAAGTCTTGAGAATTATTCTAGTGCAGAGGATAGGCTGCTTTAAAGTGCAGGAAACCGAACCACATTAATGACACTTATATTACCGGAGAGTAACAAAAGTTAAGAAATTAAGGATCCTGCATAGAAACCAAGAAAGCAGATTTAAAATGGCAAATTGTTAAGTTGAGGATAATGTGAGTGTCAGGATTATAGAGTGCAATCACAATAAAAGTTAGAACAGTTGAGGTTTATTCGGAACATTTTTAGTTCCCCTACATGTTTTGTAAGTGAAAAACGTCATCTCTAATGAACATGATTGACAGTTTAATGATATGGTGCCAATAGACATTGTCGCTATTTGGATACCTGCGACACTTGAACTATTGACATCATACAACCATGACTTTTCCATTAAGGAGTCAGACATTTTCTATTTTGATATCAAAATTTTACGGGAATCTTTGAAAATATTTCCAGTATTGGTGAACAAAAAACGATAAGGTCTATAGCCATTTGAGAATCTGCAACACTTTAACAATAGACATCAGACAAAAAATCAATTTTCCTTTGAGGCTTCAGACATTTGCTATAAGGACATCAAACTTTTACCTGAACCTTTGTGATGTTCAGTGATGGCAGATGAATAGCAATAATATGTATTTTAATGACCGACTATATTCGTCTTTTAGAAAAATTAGTTGCTGCATTTTCATGAATATGTGCCATTTTAAATATAAACGGAATATAAATTTATAAAAATATTTCCCATTTGAGGAATTGTTACTCATTAGACATTACTCATTAGCCATGATAAGGGTAACAATTTTCCCCATTTTTGTGGGTTTGTCGCTAACCGGCTAAATATGATATCAAAGTAAGGTATTTCTGCTTGAGAATACAGAAAAGATTTCGGCTTTTGCATTTATTGATATTTAAATTACATTTGAAATTGATTATATTTGACGAATCCGATTTCAGTGGTATTGAGATGTATAGAGAAAATTATAAGTGAGTGACAGTTCTGATAAAACGCTCAGTCTGTCATGGAAATTTAGCATTTTACGATGTCCTACCGATGTTTTAATTTCCTTGTTTGTTGAAATACGACGATGAAACGCTTTAGCAGGCTCCGTTTCTATCTCACTCTCAGATGAATCTTCTTGTGATGGTAATTCCTTCGTCTTTGCCTTCGAGGTTCGTTTTCCTTTCAAACTGGTCGCCATCTTGGTTTTCCTTCACATCCGCTAGGGGGCGTGGCTAAATGAAAATCAATTTCTGAAAATATTCAGCATCGGGCTGGGAATACCTGGGAAAATGCATGAAATGATTAAGTACAGTATGTATTCCCTCAGGCTTAAGTCATAATATCTTCCTTAATCAGGACAGAACAATTACAAAAGTTTTAAAAAGGATATAGTATGAAAAAGACTTATTGACACAAAAAGTTTCAAGTCAAAAAAAATCACACATATTATTAGACTAGTTCTACTCTGGGAATAGTATACCGTGATCTATAATACTAGTCACAGTTCTGCTTGGCACCAATGATTAGTATAGTACGAAAATCATGCTTGTTGATAAAGTCAGCAAACCTTTTATTTATTAAAATCTATAATTTTAATATACTAAATAACGTTTTATTACTCAATAATCATTGAAGAACATATAAAATCCATTAACTACATACTGGACACAAGAAGTCAAAACCTAGGCAAACCTACCAAAATGTCACACCTCGAGGGGATTTTAATCTACCACTTATCAACTGGCAAACAACAACTATAAACTCTGACCCACAGTATGGAAAACGGCATTAAATGAAAAGCTAATAAAATCACAAATAACAACGATCTAAACCTAAAATAGTTAATGAACCAACTAGTTCATGTCTGTCATATTTGTTCTTCGAAAATTCAATTTACAATTATTGTGTTATAAATTAAGCCGTTAGTTTTCTCAATTGAATTGTTTCACATTTTTAATGCCAGTTACTAGCTGTATATAAGTCATACAAGTTCAACACATTTTTAGCTGCGTGGGCTGCAGGCAACGAAGACAAAGTAAGAATATAATTTTGACAAAAAATCCGTGAAAATCTGTGATAAAGCAGAGACAACACACCCAAGGACCGAAAAACAAACATGATTCCACCATAGAATATCACAGCTAACTTAAGCCTTCGGTTGAACAACACTGTGACGAACCCCACCAAAATCCGGTGTGAACTCAGTTGCCTCAGTTCCTGCTGCACTACGGACACGTATCGTGTTGTTTTTGACAAGACAAAATCGGGCGGTAAGTTGTGTTCGATAACAATTCATCAACAAAAGAAAACAAGTTGCTTTCTTTAAAAAAAGAAAAGCAATACGTGAACCAAAGACCGCTGAATGGTCACCAAGAAATTTTTGCTGAATTTCAAAGTTGTTTGCTATTGAATTGAAATAATTGACTGTGAATAGAATAAGATAATGACGATGGTAAAACACCTTTATCAAAAATATGTAATTGTGTGTAGACTCTTGCGTAAGTAAGTTGAAAGCAATGTTAGATAGCAGAGGCGGATTTAGAGGGTTTTTCAGGGGGCCCGGAATTGCACAAACCAATTGCAATATAAATTTAAGCACTCAGTTTGCTTTATAATCTGGATGCATTTATTTTATCTATCATATCTTCATATTTTGTTTCCTGGATGCCTTCAGTTATTCTCAACTCGTTATTGAAGCTGTCTGTACTCATGGTAGATGATGTATAGATAAATTTAAAGTCCAATTTCCATGTGAAGAGAAACCCTGTGGCATGCAACTTATAAGAAGGGTTCGTATAATTTTTCTTGAAAGTAACACACCAGCTTCATTGATACCTCTTGTATAGAGACTTATTTTGGTATCATAAAACATCTCAAATTTTAAGGATTTCCTGATTTTACTTAATAAATCCAAATATTCTACAGGAAAACTTGGTTTTGAAGAATATCTTGTTTGCAGAAGTTTTATGAATACCTGAACATACTCTCAGAAGAACCAATTTATATAAAAAGATGTGTAGATATAAAAAGATACCATGATTAATATGTTGTACGCCAGACGCGAGTTAAGTCTACAAAGAATCATCAGTGACGTTCGAATAAAAAAAGTTAAAAAGACCAAATAAAGTACGCAGTTGAAAGGAATTCAGGACCCAAAATTTCGAAACAAAAGTTTTGCCGAATACATCTAAAGCAATCTGTTCCTGGGGTAGAAAATCCATAGCATTTCGAAAATGTCAATTCGTGTGAACGCAAACCGATAGTGTGCATGTGAACAGGGTGATGTATAATGTGAATGAACCAAGAGTCAGACGTGTAGGATAGCTGGTCAACACAATAAATGCAGTTTTCAAAATCGTACCATAGTGCAAATATTTAAGATGCTATAAGGTTGAACAATTAAAACAAACAAACAAAAACAAAAAAAGAATTGAAATTTTATAATAAACATACATTCCTGTTAATGAATTTTTTACAAAAATTTAGAATATAACGTCAAGTATTTACGGATGGACATTTTATTTATCAAATCAATCTCTTCTTAAAGTCTAACATTTCACTATATGAATACATTGCTATACAAAATATAAGCAGAAACTTATAAATTCATACTAAAACAGTATAAAATAATTAACATAGTAATTAGATTTTGTTATGATTATTGTAAAATGTCAATTACGTTTTTTGTGAAATGCAATGATTTAAAATCCTTGTGAATTGGAACCATGCAAGTATTTTTTTATTCACGACCGTTTATTTAGATATTTAGCTAACTTTAGGTACGCATCCCTGCTCAGCCATTGGTGCTCATACGTTGCATATGATTTTCATAAATGTAATGTAATGACTGTTCAAACCTGTGAGACATAATGCTCGTATATTTGACAATTTTAATTATAATCTCTTAAGAATAAATTCAGTCTCAGTTTAAACTTAATAATGAATATTCTCTTGGTCTGGTAGTATCTATTAATGAAATAAGATATTTTTGACAGAAAAGTCCTTTTGTTTAATTAGCTTTCTGCTTTCCGACCACTGTGTTTCCGACCTAATTAAATATTCATAACAGAAATATCATTTTCTTAATTGAATGGATGAATATTTTATTTGCAAAAGCATAAATACCATGCTATGGCAATACATAGACAAGTATATACAATGTGACAAAACGACATAATTATAGCAGAGAACAATACATAATGTAATAAAGGTACAATTAATTCACAATACATGATCTAATTTTCCATGCATGTTTCAGATAGTTACACAGTTTAATTGTAATCGATTTAGATTTTGCTTGAAGCAAATGAAAAAGTTTAAAAGTATTTGGCCAAGAACGATAATATTTTGGCAAATATTCTTGTCTCACAGTTCTGTAGGCTGGACATACAAGTACGAAGTGGTACTCATTTTCAAACGCAGCATTCACATAGACGCATATGTCTAGGGATGTTTTTATATCTACCTAATTCCAAGTTCAATTTCAAAGTACCACTTCTCAATTTTGTAAGTAAATTACTATTAATAAAAAAATCCAAATAATTCTCAATTACAAAGTCTGTTTTGAGGTGTTTATAAATACATAGTTTTTCACAATCATTTAATGATGCATACCAAGTTTGTAAATACTGGTCCTTTATACGAGTTTTTATAACATCTAGCTGTATATTTATACAAATCTGTGCAGTCCAAACATAGTTTATACCAAGATTAAACAATAAATCACGGACACTAGACGCCCAGTTCTTTTTACCATTGTTTGCATCTTCTAATAAAAGTTGATAAACATCATAAACAATAGGTGGCTTATTTACAATATATATGAAGCCAATATTTCAAAATAATTTGTTTTCTTGAGATATACATAGACAAATGACCTAGTTCACCACATAAAAAACTTAAAGGAACATTTTTACCTAGTTTTTAAAACAAATCTACAGAAACGGTTGTGTATTTGCTCTACATCATTTGCACGGTGAAAACCCCATATTTCAGATGCACAGTTTAATACGGAACCAACCATACTATCAAAAAGTAGAAATTGTTGACTTGTGGCTAAGAACACATGTTTTGAAGAGTTCAGAAGTGATGAAAGCGCTCTCGATCCCTGTTGAGATAATCTTTTTTGGGTATGTAAGAATTTTCCATTATAATGAAGTAGCATACCCAAATACACGTAAGAGTCCACTATTTGCAGTTCTTTACCGTCATACATGAAACTGTAGTTAGCTGGCTGCCATCCATTTCTAAAAACAACAATTTTGTTTTGTCTGTATTTACCTCGATGTTCCATTTTTTTACAATAGATTGATAGATTATCTAATAACTTTTGTAACATTTCGGGAGACTTACTAAACAAAACAGTGTCATCCGCAAAAAGAATTAGGTATATTAGAAAACCATTTAGTTGTACAACGTCATCACTAGCATTTACGGACATATCTTCGATTATACCATTGATGAAGAACAAAAATAATAAAGGAGACAATGGGTCCCCTTGTTTCACACCAAGTAAATTGTTAATTGCGTCCGAAAGTAAACCACCAGATCTTACTCGTAGACGGACAGACGAATAAATAGATTTTATCATATTAACAAATTTGCTACTGACACCATTTTGTAGAAGTTTGTATATTAAGATCCTTCTGCTGAGTTTATCAAATGCTTTACGGAGATCTACAAAGGTACAAAACAGTTTCATTTTATGTTGTAGAATATGTGTAATAATCCCATGAATAACAAAAACTGCATCTATAGTTGAACGACCTGGTCGGAATCCAAATTCGTTATCAATTAATTGTTCCTCGTCCTCAGACCACGCCAGTAAGCGGCTTGTTAATATAGACGTAAATAGTTTAGATAAGACACTTACTAATATAATAGGTCTTTAGTTGTTTGGGTCCGTTAAATCACCACTTTTCGGAACAGCAATAACTAGTCTATATATTGTGTGACGGACGATTGTTTGTAAAATCTAGTTCAAAATAAAGTGGCGAGTGGTCTGAAAACTCGTTCAACTGTAACACTTCGAAATTACTAATTAACTCGTAATCACGAGGAGAAACAAGTAAATAATCATTAACACTTCTTCCGTTAGCTGTACAGAAAGTGAAATTACCGTGTTTGTCGTTTCCGAGTCTTCCATTGGCTGCCGTAAGACCAGTGTCATAACACATCTGTAGAAGTTTACGACCAAAAGAATT